ACCATTAACTCTAAAAGTGCTAAAATTCAAAAAGTGTCTTGCACCTCTGACTTCACAAAGCCAGCACCTCAGAGCTTGCTGCAAGATTCTCGCAAATCACTGACTCTCAGCAGCATAGACTTCTCTGATTTAGGGTGTGATGTTTTGGATCCATTTGCAACCCTTCTAAACTCTCCAGACAACTCCAAACCTTTTCTACTTGATCATTCTCCTCCAACCAGTGTCTCAGCAAAGGCAAGCACTGACAAAGGTAGCATAACAGGTAATACTGTTCACTCTGAGAGTGCTAAAAACCAGAAATCAACTGTGTCGTCTTGCACCGCTGACTTCACTAAGCCTGCACCTCAGAGCTTTCTGCAGGACTCGGAGTTTACAGTTCTGCAGAAGTCTCAAACCAAGACTAAAGCTTTTCTCAGTGATCAGTCTGCCGATTCCTCTTTCTCAGTGTTGTACAATACTAGTTCCTCTTCAACTAACCGCCAGCTTTATTCGCCTGGCTTAACACGCTCCTCAGAACTTTCCATTCACCAAAGAGTGCATTCTCCACCCTCCCAACCCCAACAAACAAAAAAATCAGACTGTGTTATGCAGTGAATTTTTTTATTGACTGCTTTTACATGCACACTAATGATATGATCATTATCTGATTTCAGCAGATTATTTGGGTGGTCATGTAAACAACACACTACAATATCTTATACTGGATTAAAGCTGCTGTCAGATTTCAAGAAAACATTTGGATTTTAGCCCAATTATGTGCTTTGTTGATTTTCTAAGTGAAAATAAGTTAATGCATCCTATAAACAGAGCTCACTACTGAACATTTTAAAGCATAGTTACCGTTTATTTGCTGAATTTAGCATAGTGGCGTGGGGTGACCTGTGGTAAGTTATGGCACATTTTGTATTTTATTTTTTCTGATATATTGAACTCAAATAAACAGTAATTGTACACTAAAATTTGTGGAAAAATGCCATTATTAGGTTTGTTCCTTGTTGAGGATGTGAAAAATTAACAAAGCATGTCGTTTGACTAGGGCTGATCAAAGTTTTGCATGTGATTGTATGTCATGGATTTAGGAAAAAAAAAACAATTATTGACTTGTGCAGACAAAGATGTTTTACTTTGTCAGACTATTTAAAGGCATGTCAAAGTAATAATAATAAATCCAATTTGCCTCATAACCTAGACGTATTTGAAATACATCACAAAACTTCTCACAACCTGTTCAAACAACATCCAGGTCTTCATTGATGTCATACATACTTGTCAGAGCTTGGTACGTGAAAAATGGTGTAAATTAGATTTTTCACTGAACCTCAATCCTTTTTTTTCTTTTTGTGGGTATCACATTATTTTGTAATAAAAATGTACTTAGTATCTGTTGTAAAGCAGAAAACTGATTGGGTATCGATATTCTAAACTGCAGTGATTAATGAATGAAGGATTAAAAATGATTAATGATTCATTTATATTAATGAATTGCATTGCTTACAAGTGAGTTTCATTCATTTTTTTCTAGTAAATTGTTTATTGCAAAGACATGATGAGATACCAAAAGCACTTCCAGTTCCAGTCAGCTCCATACTGACAGTGTCAAATAAGGACATTATTGTGAAAATCGTAAGAAACTTTAAAAATATGGTTATAATTTTACTAAAATATGTGTGTGATCCTTATTTATTGTCAGAATTGCTGCTACTAATGAAGTATTAAAATAAAATGAGTTTATTGAAGTAGTGAAGTCTTGAGTTGTTATTGTTCTGTAGTTGAACCTTCTGCATCAACAGATTCAATTCTGCCCTTTTGACTTTTTCCAGTTTGTTTTGATATCACCAAATGACAAAACATGTCTGTTTTTTCTCTTAACACTGTACACAACACAATAACGTTTCATCAAGTTCACAATATAATAAAGTATCTCCTGTTCTACTTACAAACACAAATGTGGTATAAATTGAAAGTTTAGAATTCACACTTTATATCTTTGTTAAACAAAGCCTGTATCTCTCATATTCTTTTTTTAGTCAAAGTACAGCTTTGTACATCTACTTACTGTAGAAGATTTATGCTCAGCTGACTATAAATAATAATCAAAATGCAACTAAAATGTGGAGCCAGCACGTGTATCCATAATAAACAATACAGTCCATTGGTATTACTGGAACAGGATTAGTTTTACATGGAGAGGTGGGACAATGCCTGTTTACCACAGGACGTCTGTAAAGTTTATGATCAATTCACGTGGATAAGAAATAAATATAAATAAATAAGTATAAATAACTGAGATTAGAGAGGCTACTTTTACACACCGCCTTCACCAAAACATTAAAAATCTTAAAACCTCCATTTACCATAACCAACTACCTAAGTGAATGAACATGTGGAGACAATTTAAATCAATAAAAGCAATCAATAAAATATGTCGCTAGAAGAAGCAACCATGACAACACTATAAAACCACTTACCACATGACCAACACCAGAACCTATAGTATTGCTAACTTGTCCACAGGTTATTTTATAAGTAAATAATACATTTGTTCAAATGACCTATATACAGCAATGGACAGTACTGCTGATACCTGTATTGTTCAGGTTTGAAATTTGAGATATTTTGAGATTTGAAATACAAAATAGTATTTCTGGAATTCATATTTGATGATCTGGGAAAAGAACCACGGCTCCAAACTTTTAAGACAGTTATAACTTAAGAATAATGCCAGTTTGCCCTGTAGTTCATGTAGTTACCGAATAACCAGCTTTAGGGTGTATAATAAGCTCTGTGTTTTTCTATTTTCAAAATGCTCAAAATTCCTGTTTTTACACTAAATGAGAGGTTGTGAACTTCAGTCCTGAAGAGCTGGGGTCTAGCACAGCCAATACATCAGGCTAGTAGCTGCTGGGTTTAATTAGGGGTGTTTGCGGATGAAATCACCAAACTGTGCTGACAGCCCTCCATGACTAAATGGTCTTTTTAGAAATACACACATTGATTGTGTGTGATTTAGGCATAAAAGCCACCCATTAGCGCCCCCTCTTGGAGAACACTTTACATTAGCCATCCCAGTTATTTGTCCTGGTGTATCAACGAGGAAATGGAAAGTAGGGTGGGAATGTGATTGTTTGCCCTTTTCTATACCGTATGCTGTAAAAGCCCCTGAGTGTAGGTAATACTGGATACAGTGCAGCCAGATGACCACCAGTGCAGTGGTTGTTAGTGGTCATTCAGATCGACCGACAAACCCAGGTGCATACATACATTGACGTTGTGGAAATCACACCACAAAACTTTTAAATGAGCATCTCGGGCTGTTTGAACAGGAATACTGGCTTTATGGGTATCATTAACAATGTCATGGGGCACCTTCTGCACTATATAGTATTTTTAAATACGTGTGCCTATATATATATCAGGTCATACATCATTGACTCATGCTGAGTCACATGTGTGAGGTTTTCTTTTGGGTGTGTTCTCCATGAGCTAAGTATAACTTCTATGTCATTACAAATACTTAGATTGGACTGACAAACCACTATAGGCTCTTTCACATTATGTCAAAAGGTGTTGCGTCAAAAGGTGCATTTGTAATGTGTAATAATTACACTCATAATGTTTTGTGAATATTCATAGGAAGTGTTACCCAACCATAGGCAATGATTGAACACTGACTTATGTGTTCCAAAGAGCAGAACCTCGCCCTACAAACCCTTCTCACAAACACCTGTTCATGTTATTGTGTGGCAGTTTCATTTCCTGGTACACGCTACAGACACGTCACCAGAGTTGCATCTCATTCAGACTGTGATTTCCCCTTACCTTCTTCCCTTCCTTCAAGGGCGCTTGACCTTTGATTGAGCCCTTCATAAGCAAGACCTATGTGGATGGTATTTCATTTATGTGGGGTCCTGGGGTAATTTCCACCTTTCCTCTGTGATTTTATTTCTGTCCAGATCAGCCATGTCAGTGCTTTTCTCCCTCCTCCCCTGAGAAAATTACAGGCCAAATTACCTACTGTTTCCCACCAAACTCAGTGGTTGTTTGATGAATTTAGTCTGTGGATAACACTATTCTAGAATACTCATTTAATTTAAAGGAGAGAGAAGCCCCACATGTCTAACATGCACATTCATTTTCAAATATGACATAATTATGCTCAGTAAAAAAGTACATGAATAAAGGTTACAGTTTTAGTATCTATATAATAATCCAAGCCCTAATCATAGTTTTAAATGATCATTTGTGCTGTTATTACAACCGTCTTTTTTGTTGAAATTGAAAAGTTTGAACTTTTTCTTCTTTTTCATTTTGTGTTTATTCATTTATAACACTTTACTAAAGAGCAACATTCATAAGGCTACATGACACCTACACCATGCCTACATTTATGACAACTGACACTTGTCAGAATAAGCCTTTATGAGACGTCATAGACGTTCTTATAAAAGATGGTTCTTCAAAGGTTCTTTAGAACCATAAGGTCATGCTAAATGCATGGTGAAATGGTTCTTCAGACTGATGGGGAACCTTTTTGAAAATGGTTCTATATAGCACCGAAAGGGTTCTGTTATTGTTACGATGTCAAACTTGTAACAATAGAAGAGCCTTTTTTGGTTCTATATAGAACCATATACAAGACATTGTCCAACAGTCTGCAGAATCAATTCACCATGCAAAGAATCATTTTAGCATGAAATGGTTCTATATAGAACTAATATAAACAGAACCACTCCCTTTACTAAAGAACCTTTGAGAAAACAGTTTTTTAAAGTCTATCCTTATGCCACACTGACCTAAGTCCTAATGCTGCCGTTCAGTAAAGGGTAGCATTTTTTTTAACCTGAAGAGAATATTGCCTGGTTTCTCTTGAGTTAAAGTGGACTTCCTCACCTATTTACCTCAAGCTGCCACCATTTTTTAGAGTAGGAGTCTCTTCTGTGGGCAAAGTGAAGTACACACCCAGCTAGAATACACATGTGAAATGGGATGCAGCCCTAGCTTTGCATGTCAGCATTTTGCCCAGTCACATAGAACAGCTTAGTTTACGCAGAAAGAGAAGCAAAACGGAACTCAGCAGTCATGCAAGCAGCAGCTCTGGTTAATCGGCTTTTATGTGCCCATGATGGGCGAATCGATCTTGAGGACTTGTGTGGTCAGCTGTCTGGACTGTCATTACGTGACGAAGTAGAAAATGTACTCAAAGACACGGATATGTTTCTGACCACTGGTGACAGAAACAAAGTGGTGGTTGCCAAGACCAAGCTGAGACTTTGTAGAGTCAGAGAATGTCAAGGCTGCAGCAACCTTCACCTGTGTAAAATGTACCTGTTTGGAGATTGTCCATACGACAGAGGAAGGTAAGGCTGCTTACTAAAGAATGTATGAACATATGTAACCTGCTAGCGCCCACACATTCTTTGACATATCCATATTTGAGTAAAGGTTAATATAATGAGGACCAACTTTCTGGATTGTTTTGTGATCTGGCTGCATTATTAACTGTTATCCAGTCAGCAAATATGTTCAGTATTACTGATGAGATCATTGTAGCCTACTCAATCAGTATACTCAATTATTGTTTCCTGCACAGACGAGGGTGCCGTTTCTCCCATGATCTTTATTCAGGACATAATGTCAGTGTGCTGCGCCAACACAACCTGCTGGAGCTGGACCGCACTGAGCTGTGCGTTATACTGCTTCAAAATGACAACACCTTGTTGCCTCCAGTAAGGGTCTCATACTAATTCTATGTGGAAAAGATGCACTAAGCCAGATTTTATTAATGTATTTTTTAATCAGTGGTCAAATCATTGTTGTTATTTGCTTTTTCCTTTTTTCACATATCCATTTTAAACATTGTTGTACAAACTTTTGCAGACCATCTGTTGCTATGCACAATTTGTCACCTTCTATCTCATTCATTAATAGAAGGGCATATATTGGACCACCAGATAGTATTTGCATGGTGGATCATTCTCAGTACAGCAGTGACACCAGTAGCATGGCATAGTGGCGTTTGTGTGCTAATATTTCAGTACAAGCAGTGTTGGTGGGGTTTTTAAATGCTCTGTAATGGTACTGGCTGTTTTATTAGACCTCACTGGTGCACCTTGTAAGTGTAGTGGACTATTCTCAACCCAGCAGGGTGACAAGTAGCCAGTGCCAGCTTTTTATATCTTTTACATTTATTTGTTCGCTTCTCATCCCTCCATTCCTCCATAAACTGCTATTACTGACTCCAGTTACACTGCATAATCATATATTGCTAATTATTTAGCTATATTTACCAATTTATGTTCACCTGAAAATACATGTTGAAACCTATACGCAAAATTAACTGATAGTTTTACATAATTTTTGATGTTAATGGCCATATTTATTGTATAATCATTTAACATGGTTTACATTCGCCTCTCCATCTCACTGGTCAGTCCTCACTGTTCACTGCAGTTTAAAAACCCATCGAAAAAAAAAAAATCTCCTTAATATATCTGTAGTTTCTCCTGGACAGCAATCAGATGGAAAGAGAAAGCAGACTTTTGCTTGACCCCTTAAAATATCAGCCTTATTAAATGCTAAGGCTTATTATTCAGTAACTACAGGGACTTCAATGCAAACTGTCTGAGCTATTCTTAGGTTATAGAGGTGTGTAATAAAACTTCACTGTCGGTGTCCCCCATTGGATTCATTTAAACATTTTCTTTATACTTATTACTTGTCTGGGTTCTTTTATTCTTCCTTTAATCATCAGTGCTTGAGACTAGAGACTATCTGACTGTAAATCTGTACTGAACATCACATTAGTAACCAATGACACAATGTACTCCCAGGTGTGTTTCACATATAACAAAGGCAGTGGTGAATATGGTAGCTGTCCTGATAAAGAGGCCTGTAGAAGACTCCACATCTGTGAGAGCTACATCAGAGGAACCTGTGATGGCAGCACTGAATGCAGCCGATCCCATGACTTCTACGAACCTCATCCCATGAAAAACCTTCAGGCCAAAGGAGTGTCCAGTCAGCTAATGGGGTCCATGCTTCCAGCCTACAGGAATATACTTACAGTCTGGGATGCTAATCGAGCTTACAGCAGTAACACTCCAGCCAGGACGTCAGGTATTAGTAGCACTTCATATGTTTTGTATCGTAATGTGTTAGCAAGACATTCTGCTGGTGGGACAGCAATAACAATAACAATAATTTGAGACTCTTATATTTTCTTTTATTTTCACTTTCCACAGAGAAATGTGAGATATGCCTGTTCTACATCAAAGGTTTCTGCAAACAAGGAAGTAAGACCACATTTCTTCTTAATGACTAAAATAGCATTTATATAATGTACACAACGTAATATCCTAATGTCATTGGGCTTTTTACACAGACAGATGTTGGCAGGTGCATTTCCAGTTGCCTTACAAGTGGGAACAAAGAGATGGACACAGCTGGAAAGTTCTGGAAGATAATGAAGAGATAGAGCGGGCTTTCTGTGATCCTGCTAAGACATACAGGTGTATATGGTGTATACTCTTAAACCATTGTAACCTCACCTGTGATAATGCTAATTGTTGCCAGCATTCCTATGGGATTCTAGCAGTTTGTTAGCACTAAGCCAACAACAATTCATCTGGACATTTTTTGGCCATTCTAGATTAAACACAGACTTCTGAAGCTTCTAAAAGGCATTAAATAGTGTACTCGAAGCTTGTGACAGACATATTAGCATACATTTAACCTGTAGCAGTTTCATGGTGACTCTTTCAGGAGAGGCTGGTGAACAGCTGCTGCCACTGTTTTCCGTTTCTTAAAACCCACTGATTGGGATGCCACTCGTATTCAGTTGGTGATGTACCTGAAACTTCCAAAAAAGCCTCAAGTGAAGTTTTTCCTCCGAAAACTGTAAATCAAAACATGATTGGTTGATTTCTGTCAGTTTGTAATTATGCTGAAAGTTCACCTCACCCTTCAGGACTTCTCTTCAGCTCTTGAAGTCCTAACCAATAGGAGAGCTCACTTTGCTATGTCTACCCAGATACCACAGAGAAAAACAATTCCTGATTGGCCGACTTTCCACTGGATGTTTCAAGAATGCAACCCTTTTGTTTTTAATCTAGAATTTAACAATGAAACAAGAATAGTAGAGTTTAAATACAAGGATGGTTCTATTGAATAAAAATCGAAACTATAAATTACAGACAAGTATTTTTAGATCTGAGTAATCAGTAGACCTTCTCTGAAGACCTACAAGGCCTTGAGGATTTTCCTCTGTTTAAAATACCAGTATCTCAGTATCTCTGACTTTGGTGACACTTTATTTTGAATGGTCATTTTAGATTAAAACAAACACTCAACAGACTCTCAGTAAAGGGTTAGGGTTAGGTTTTGGGTAAGGTTAAGGTTTGTATTACGGAAGTAACATATTAACAATACAACTACTTAACGTAAGTAGTGTATCGACAATACATCTCTAAGATATTTACCATAATGTATTCAGATGCTGAACTACTGCTACTTCACTGATATGTTGTAGATGTGTTACTGATAATCTGTTAAGAGTTTATTAATCATTTACAAAGGACCACTCCAAATAAAGTGTTACCTGACTTTGAACCAGACGCAGCCAGTTATGCTGAATAGAATGGCTGATGCTGTTAAAGAACTGAGAAACTAACCACTAAAATGAAAAAAGAATAAATGAAATCTTTGTGAAGCTTACAGAGCTGTTTCTGAAAGAAAATTAAGGCTGATCTGTTTAGGTCAGATCAGAGTCACGCAGTCATGTAGCACAGGTAGCACAAATTACATACAGATACAGGCATGAATAATTGATATGGAGGACATTTACAATTTAAATGCATTGCATAACTGTACTGTGATTACAAGAACATGACCGCACTGCCGGAAAAAGTAATTAAATACTGTAACAGATTACTTTGTGCTGCATTACCCCAACACTGCTTACACCCCAGCAATTGTGTTCTACTAATTTGTCCTACCCATCAAGCAGTCCTACTGCGCCTTAGCATATCATTATTATAGTCATTTCAATTCAATTCAATTCAATTCAACTTTATTGTCATTATACTGAAACAGGGTTGTACAGTACAACGAAACACTTTTAGGCTAGATCTCCAGTGCAATTACAGACAACATAGTGCAGGACAGGACATAGTGCAGGGACATAGAACAATAAATACAGAAAATAAATACAAGTATATACACTGCAGTAGGTGTGCTGGTACTTTAACACTGTTAATATAACAGTAGGTGCAATAGGGTATGTAGAGGGCAGGGAGCAACAAACTATGGGTTAAAGTGCATGGTGCATACAGTCTCTGAGCTGATGGCGATCTGAGGGATAGTAGGGGGAGGACAGAGGTCAGTCTGTTAATCAGGTTGAGGTTGGTGTGAAGTAGTGTGAACAGACTTCAGTCTGTATGAGTTCAGGTTGAGGATAGTGTAGCTGGTGACACCAGTTTAACAGCACGGGGGAAAAAGCTGTTTCTGAGTCTGGTGGTTCTGGCTCTGATGTTCCTGTACCTCCTTCCAGATGGCAGAGGCTGGAACAGCGGGTGGCTGGGGTGTGTGGGGTCGGAGGAGATGCAGAGGGCCTTCCTCAGACATCTCTTGCTGTAAAGGTCCTGCATGGGTGGGAGGGCAGCCGCGGTGATGCGCTGGGCAGTTTTCACCACTCTCTGCAGGGCCTTGTGTTCAGCAGCAGTGGCACTGTGATGCAGCTGCTCAGAATGCTCTCCACAGTGGATCTGTAGAATCTTTAATTGCGTTTTTAATGTAAATTAAGTTTTACTTTACACGTTACACAGACTAAATTTTGTTACTTATCCTCTGATAAGGTTATTTAGCCTTCAAGATATCCTACCTGTGGTTTGAATGCTGGTAGCATTTTTGGATGATTGAAAACAGATAAAGTGATTTAGGCTAAAGAATATTCCACCTATAGCTTTATGTAGGAGCTACCTATAAATACATGCTACTGTGAGACATTATGACAAGGTAAGACATGTTCTGTTTGTCAGAACATCATTGTACATTTTTATGTTAAGTAAAAATTCTGCCACAAAGATGGAATGATAGTGTATATTCAAGAATCTACTTTGTAGAATAGTATATGAAGTAAGACATGAGAACACATTGCATGAAGTGAGATGTGAGCCCATAACTGACTGTAGAATAGAATTCCAATTTCAAAATCTCTAAAATCAAACTGTCTTTTCTTTGTCCACTCTCAGCGATGGTAGTGTACCAGTACACTTTGATACCATGACTCGAGGTTTCGCAGAGGTCCGCCGTCTCTCCACTGTTTCTTCAGTGCTCAATCCCAACTTCATCCTCACCACCACCTGGGTCTGGTACTGGGAGGATGACAATGGAAACTGGATCCAGTATGGATCTTCAGTAAGTGACACTCTAGAGCACTCCACAGGAATCCCATGAGGAGACATGCAACAACAAATATCACTCTAAAGGATCAAATCTGCCTTTCAGTTATTCATGTACATCAATAACTGATCTTTTTTATTTTCCATTTCTAGCAGCAAGGGACACAGCACGCATCTTCCATCACCAGTGAGGATCTGGAGAGGAAATTCCAAGAAGACAACAGCACTACGATCGAGTTCACAGCAGGCCGACATTCGTATGAGCTCAACATGCAAGGTTGTGGTCACTTGCTGTCCGTTTTAGCTGCCATGTTTAGAGGAACACTGCGTATGTTGTACTTAAGAAATGTCAAACTTGTCTGAACTTGCACCAGTGATCTGTGTCGTGGGTTATCTGCTTTCTTCTTGTAATGCACCATGTCCTAGTAGTGTAAATGTTTAGGGTCAGTGACCAAATCGAAGAATACTGGTCAGGGCGAACACACTAGCCTATTAGCACTTTTGTCTTTAAAGTGTGCTGAAACAGGACAAGTGGTTTACACTGGTTAATGCCTTTTTTTACATTTTACATTTAATCAGCTTGTACATTTTGTCTTCCAGACATGATTCAATCTAACAAACAGATTGGCACCAAAAGGCTGGTTAGGAGGAGACCCTCGTTTGTTTCAGCAGAAGATGTACAAAAAATCAAAACAAGGTGCACGCTAAATTCCATCAAGTAGCTTATTCAGTTTAAGTATTTAAAATACAGGCTTAGGTAAATTATGAAGTATTTCGAACCTCACTTTGTTAGCAGCATCTGAGAGAGAAACGCAGGTTAAGTGGAAAATATAAAAAAAGGAATCCTCAATACTCTTTTCCTTTAACTGTATCATACTGTCTATAATCACTTAACAATCATTGTTTGTGTAATTCATCATATATAAATTTTGAATTGCATTAAAAGTATGATTGTTTTTTATTTAAAAATTTCAGTATTTTCAATAATAAATAATAAAATAATAATACAATTTCAGTTAAAAAGTCAGCCAAATAACAGCATTTTTGCCTAAAGTTAAGCTGAAAGGAAAATCTAGCAGAAGATGGTGATGAGACAAAGGTTGGCACATTTTTTTGAACTTTGCTCTGATATATTTGTATGCAAAAGTTTAAACACCCCCCTCTAACACATACTCTCCAGAGAATAAATATAAATATGGCATTTTTCTGCACAATTTTTACTTACTTACTAAATTGGAAAAAAAGCCATAATTCAGCAAATAAACAGTAATTGTGCATTTAAATGTACAGAAATGTGTATTGTGTAAAGTAGATTAAATTTTTTTTCACTTCAAAAACAACAAAACATGTAATTAATGCTCAAACTTTTGTTTGGTAGTGCACTCACATAGATCTCAATGTTATAAAGTTAATACTGTAGTCGAAAGGAATACAGTGGTCATCCACAAAATCCCAGAGTTTTGCCACGTCACTGGGACAAAGGCAGCATGCCTGAAACTGGGTTCAAGGTACACATCTTGACTCAAAAGTCTTAATTTAAAAGATAATATAATAACAATACCAGTTTTTTTACATTGTACATTCTGCCACACAACTGATGTTAAAGCTGCACTATATAAGATTTTGTTAAAACTGAAAGAAGTAGTATTACTGAGTCAGGAGGAAAAAACACTCATGGCATGCATGTGGTGCTGCAAGTCACCCCGTAAGGCCTGAAATATTCATTCAAAAGTCAGAGGTGTCAGGTTGGATTTTGTGGGAGTTTTTTGGACATTTATATTAATATGCAAAGATTAATACACTATCTCTTTAAATACTCTTTCAATGTGCTCGCAATCATCTGATTCACCCACTTATAGGGGTCTGAAGTACAACCAATGTTACAAAATTTTCTTCTACACATTTGCAATTACACACTTCCACCACAGAGGTATCTAAATCCCCAAATCTTACATAGTGTAGCTCTAAGCATTTTGTAAAGGTAATGCAAGCTGCTACAGCAGATTATGCAACTTATAAAATAGACTGTGGTCTATAAGGACTGTCCTAAACCAAGTTTTTCTTTCCAGAGAGTTCTCCTAAAGAGCACCACTGAGGAATATAAAAAGATTGTTGAGCTTTTTAATCAGACCATGTCAGGATTCCATGTGAAGAGCATTGAGAGGGTGCAGAACCGGGACCTATGGGAGGTTTTTCAATGGTATGCTATAGGAACTGCAGCTCAAGGATCCCTTGAATGCTTTCTGTTTTTATTTCGTATCTCACAGAGCTGGTCAGTTCCTGTCCTGTGCTTGTCCTGCTCTACTACACCCCATTAAGCTCATCAACTTAATGGAAAACTGGTGGTGAGCTGAATCAGGTGTATTAAAGCTACACTAAACTGCACAATGCAGGGGACCAGCACTGGCAGAGTCTTACCACAATATAGAATGCAGTTATTTCTGTTAACTTGCTTCAGTGAACTTTGAAACATGACTTTAAAGGACTTTTATGTGTTTTATGCAGGCAAAGAGATGTCCTGAGAAAGAAAACAGCAGGCAAGGAAAATGAAAAACTTTTATTCCATGGGACCAAGTCCAAGCATATCGATGCAATCTGCCAGCAGAACTTTGACTGGAGAATCTGTGGAGTACATGGGACAGCATACGGGAAAGGTGCGTTAAAAATATGGAATTTCTTCTTTTTTCTTTATTGAAATATCGTTTTGACACAATTCACATTTGTGGCTTCATCCTTTAGTGTTCTCTAACTACAACACCCGCAAATATGTCATACAACCAACAAGAATCTCCCACAGCAACAGAAATAATGACTGCTAGAATAACCACTGAGGATAATAAATACGGACATGATATTCAGCTTCCTAGCAGTAATCTTAGCTGTCTGGCTTCCTTTTGCATTACAGCTAACAGGAAAAAAACCTCCAGGTATCCACCTTAAAGCACTTATAGTTTTTTTCAAAAGTTCCTCCAATCTTCAAGATACAGCATCAAAAGGGTGTCTTTGTAGTCTTTAAACCAAAACAGTCTTGCTCTCGAGATTACTGTGTCTCCACAGTAGGAGGTAATTAAGCATGTTTTTTACAGATGTAGTCATAGCCAAATTTTAATCTTTAAGCACCAGCCTTTAGATCAGTGGTCACCAACCCTTCCTTCTGGAGATCTACTTTACTGCAGTGTTTAGTTACAACCTACATCTAATATGCTGCCCTCTCCCATTACCTACATTGATGCATCTGATCTATCCAAATCAGGAAGGTAGATCTTCAGGACCAGGTTTGGTGACCACTGCTTTAGATCAATTTTAAATGTCTTTAAGATCATGAAAATCAGGTGTGTTCCAACTTATTGATACAGAATATTAAACCAAGTATTGACTGATGACTAGCAGTTCAGTAATGTTTTCTCTGTTAAGAAATGAGCCCAAAGTATACCAGTGAATTGTGACAAGAGCGCTACTGACAGTCTCCTGAGTATTCTCAACCATTTCTTTCAGTACATAGTGCAGGTTTAGATCATTAGCACAGGTAATGTGCTGTAAAATTAAACTCAAGGTTCTCGGAGGAAATGAATAAAATAAATGGTGTACTTGTGTTCCAACAGGGAGTTATTTTGCTAGAGATGCCAACTACTCCCATAACTACACTGATGAGTCTGGAACCCGGTGCATGTTCGTTTGCCGGGTGCTGGTAGGGGAATACACCAACGGACATTCCAGTTATCTCCGCCCTCCCTCGAAAGATGGAGACACCATATTCTATGACAGCTGTGTGAACGACATCAGCAACCCCTCCATATTTGTCATATTTGAGAAGCATCAGGTGTACCCTGAGTACTTAATTCAGTATGATAAAAAACTTGACACTATTCCAACAATTACCCAGAGACCACAAGTGGCCCCTCGTCCAATCACCCTCCACTCAGCCCAACTGTTGCCATTCACTCAGATGTCCAAGCCCCTCTCATCCAGAAATCCTGCCAAAATTGTAAAGTCAGAAAGGCCAACACTGACTAGATCAACTAGAGCATTTGGATCAATGACTTCTATAGCAAACTTTTCCTCTCAAGCCAATGATCCAGGCTCATTCAGACATGAGAATCCCAGACCAAGAAGCTCAAATTTGACACGCTCATCTAGACAGTTTGGTTCTTTAACCTCATTAGCAAATTTGTCAACACATGCCGGTACTTCACCCTCCTTTAGTCTTCATTTCAGATCTCAGACAAGTGTTCCCCAACCAAGGGTCAATCGTGAAACTGCAACTAAGAGGCCCAGAAGCTCTACAGCGGTTTATGAGCCTTGGTTGGTGTAGTGCCTTTTTCAATGAAACAGAAAATACTGTAGCAATACCACTGAGGAAGAGACACAGTTTATGCATAAGTTGTTGTGCTTTATTAAAGGCTATAGTCTCACATTACACAAGAAGGAGTTCTTGGCTAACAATTCGCTCTAGTCCTAGCTACGTCTTGCTTCCTTGGCCATCAGCGTTAGACAACCTGAGTTCTTCCTGAGTTACACATAAACACAGCCAAGGAAAGCTAGTTCTGCCTTCACTATAAGACTCCCTGTAAGAATAAACCAGAGAATAACTGCTGGGATAACTTATAACTCAGAATAAACATGTAAACATTTTCTGAACACACAATATGAACATTTTTACTCGATTGGAAAACCAATGAACTGATGAATAACGCTGTTATTAAGGGAGGGGCACTGTGACAGCATGTCAAACAGATGCTTGAATTTGTGCTCTCTGACTTTTTTAAAACTTAAGACTTTTTAAGAGTTTTTAAACAGTTTTCTGATGCACTGTGTGCAGTTTTACTACTAATACAGCAAGATTTGCTATAGAAATGCCATAAACCAAGGAAACTTCAGATAGTGTAGTATTTGAATGAATATATTACTATTTTAATCAATAAGAAATCCATAACCATATGGTAAAAAGTTGATTAACAAAAGTGTATTAATCCTCTCACTAAGGATAGGCCTGGTTATGTGTAAGTTAGGGGATTTTTGCATTGGAGAATCCCTGAAGTTCAGAAGCATCTAGAAGCCAGTGTACTTTGTTGTAAGGGCAAGCTGACCCCCAAAGAGTGAGGTAAGCTGATAAGGAACCAGTCACAATCAGTTTTGGAGCCAGTTTAATAAGGCAAGAGCTAATTAGTAGCCTTGAAAGGATGGGGGCAGCTTGGGATAGCTGAGCATGGAAAGTTTTTAAAAAAATCAAGGACAGGTGCGGTTGGAAATAAGGGTTTCCAACCAAAGTGTAGAATAGGAAATAATGGGAACCAAAATGATATGGGAAAAGGTGAGAGGGAGGGGGCGATTACTTCATCACCCCCAAACAGGGTATAAAAAAGGATGTTTCTGTAATGTATTTTGCATTTGGCTGTCCGGGAGCCATCTTGCCACCTGAAGCTCATTAAAAGAAGAGGGCCTTTTCCTTCCTTCCAAAAGAACTGAATGGCTGAAGTCTTTTGTTCAACTTTCTTTTATTTTTGACTGAACTTTATTTTATTTTACGTTTATGACGAGAACAAGTGATTAGATTAATTGAAGAACTGAAACATAGTTATAGAACAGATAAGTGTTTGATTATCCATATGTTGGGGCTCTGAGCGAGCGGGAATCGCACTTAGTCCGACAATAGCAACAAATAGCTAGCTGATACTTTTCCATACCTGAAGTGACAAGATAATAAAAAGCTTCAGGAAGTTGCAGGAGGGCCCAGTCTCTGGCCCAACACATTTTTTTTTATTGTGGGCCAAAAAACTTTCATTAGCTTATCACATATTGTTAATGAATGTACTATCCTGCCTGTTCTAGTACTCACACTGTAGGCCTACTAGGTCTACCTGTATGAATTCAATGCAATAAACATACATTTTACTTGACATCTGCTTCTTCATGATTGATGTTTGATTCTGTGCTGATCTGAATTTAACCAATCAGGCCACTCTCTGCAAGCAGGGACAACACAGGAAGAGGAACAAAACAACTATAAGTTGTAAGGGCAAGCTGGCCCAACTGGCCCAACTAGTGGCAAGTGTTTGAGGTTTGACGGGCCAACTACTAGGCATGAACCTCACCGAACCAGCCACCAGCGCCAGCATCTCCACTGTGATGGCTGCACCATCCACGCCAGTGTTCCTCATAAGCAAACCCGATAAGTTCGGTGGAGAACCCGATAAATGTAGAGGGTTCCTCCTCCAGTGTTCAGTGTATTTTGATAATTCTACTGCTAGCTCCGATCAAGCGAAAATCGCTTTTATAGTCTTGCGATTAGCCGGTAAAGCACTAGAATGGGCTACAGCTAGCTGGACTCAGATACACCACCTTTCATATGCACAATTTCTAATGGATTTCAAGACGGCGTTTGATCATCCCTACGAAGGGAAAGTCAGCAGGGAATTATTGGTGAACTTGTGCCAGGGAAACTGCTCGGTAGTTGATTATTCCTTAGAATTCCGAACCTTAGCAGCAGTGGCTGGAACGAGGCAGCACTCTTAGTGATGTTTTGCCAGGGACTTCACGCAGACATATGAAGTGAATTGTATAGTAGAGAACCCTGTTTTCCTCAAGGCTAGAATTTATCCCCTCACGCAAGAGGAACAGAAGGCTCTTGATGTTTACATTCAAGAAGCACTCAGCCAAGGTTTCATCCGACCATCCACATCGCCCATAGCCTCGAGTTTTTTCTTTATTAAGAAAAAAGACAGGGGCCTTCGTCCTTGTATAGATTATAGGGCCCTTAATCAGATTTCCAATCCTACCCTTACCCACTTCCCCTAGTCCCTGTGGCCCTAGAACAACTCCAAGGAGTGTGTCATTTCACGAAATTAGATTTACGCAGCATCTATAATCTCATCAGAGTAAAAGAGGGAGATGAGTGGAAGACAGAAAAAAACAGAAAGTTGATGCAGTTATGCAATGGCCAGTTCCTAAGACAGTAAAAGACGTACAAAGTTTTTGGGCTTTGCAAATTTCTACTGCAGGTTTATCCGTAATTTTAGTACCATTGCAGCACCCCTTACATCTTTGTTAAAGGGAAACCCTAAAAGAATTAACTGGAATCCGCAGGCCAATAGGGCCTTTCAGAACCTCAAGGAGGCATTCACCTCTGCTCCCATTCTGAAGCACCCCGACCCACAACAACCATTTGTGGTGGAGGTGGATGCCTCGGAGACTGGTGTCGGAGCAATTTTGTCACAAAGAACTGGATCCCCTCCAAAATTGCATCCAATAGCTTTCTATTCCCATAAGTTATCACCTGCTGAGAAAAACTACGGGATAGGAGATAGAGAGCTACTGGCTGTAAAATTAGCTCTGGAAGAATGGAGGCACTGGCTAGAAGGGGCTAACCACAAGAATTAATTACTGACCACAAGAATCTTGAATACCTATGTAGTGCTAAAAGATTAAATGCACAACAAGCCCGGTGGTCTCTGTTCTTTTCCCAGTTTCGATTCAGTATCACATATAGACCTGGCTCCCGTAACACAAAAGCTGAAGCTCTGTCTCGCCTCCATCAGGGAGAATCCAACCCCTCAGAAATCGCCCAACCAGAATGTATTCTGCCTCCTGAAGTGATCATCTCATCTATTTGATGGGAGATCGACAAAGAAATTGAACGAGCCACTAGCACATTAGAGATCCCTACTCAGTGCCCCCCTGAAAAATTGTATGTTCCAGTAGGCTTTCGCACACAACTTATCACATGGGCACATTCATCTCTAACGTCGGGTCATGCGGGAGAGACACGAACTCACAAACTCCTAGCACAAAGGTATTGGTGAGAATCTATGAGTAAAGATATACATTCCTTGGTTTCTTCATGTTCCATTTGTTCCCAGTGTAAAACGCCTAAGGCGCTCCCTGCTGGTAAACTCCATTACCCGTACCACTCCGACCCTGGTCCCACATAGCAATTGATTTTATAACTGACTTGCCCGAATCTCTAGGATTCACCACCATTCTGACAGCGGTGAATCGGTTTTCACGAGGAGTGCGATTTGTCCCATTCTCCACACTCCCTAGTGCATTTCAGACAGCCGGGGCTTTGTTCCAACAAGTATTTCGTTACTTCGGCATCCCCGAAGACATCGTATCTGACAGAGGACCCCAATTCACGTCACAAGTATGGGCAGCCTTTTTTGAACATTTAGGGGTTTCTGTCAGCCTGACTTCCAGGTATCACCCACAAGCAAACGGACAATGCGAAAGAGTGAACCAAGAACTGGGGAAATTTCTAAGGCTGTTCTCTCATGACAACCCATCAGACTGGGCTAGGTATTTGGTGTGGGCAGAAATGGCACAGAACTCACTAACCAGTCCTGTTACAGGCATGACACCATTCCAGTGTTTCTTAGGATACCAGCCACCAATAGCCCTGTGGACAGGAGTACAGATGGACGTCCCCGTGGTTGATGACTGAATGAATAGGAGCGAGCAAGTATGGGAGCAGACTCATCAGCGAATCGAAACCGTACTACAGAAGAACAAGGAACAAGCAGACCGTCATCGAGGACCAACCCCAGTGTATCAACCAGGGGAGAGAGTCTTGCTGTCCACGAAGGACTTCCGACATCCAGAGGGAAGTTGCAAGAAATTACTGCCCAAATATATTGGGCCTTTTAGAGTAGTAAAACGTATCAATGATGTTACCTATAGATTAGACTTACCCCCTCGCTTTAGAGTTTCGAGATCGTTTCATGTGTCTCTACTAAAACCTGCCATTACAGGGCCCTTGGACGAGGGTTTCCCCGACGTCACGCCACTCCCACCGGAGGTGATAGATGGGGCACCTGTCTATGCTGTCCGTAGGCTGCTGGACTCCAGGAGACATGGGGGACAGCTGCAATACCTGGTGGACTGGGAGGAGTATGGACCGGAAGAACAATGCTGGGTGTCCGCTAAGGACATATTAGACCCGGCTCTCTTAGCGGGCTTTCACAGTCGCTACCCGCAGAAACCCGCTCCTCGTCCCAGAGGTCGTCCACGGAAGCAGCTGTCCTGCTCCCTGCCTACTCGCCTGGGGTCGTCTCAGCCAGAGGGCTCCTCGGTCCAGCGCCTCGGCAGTTCTGGTTCCGCCCCTGTTCGGAGATCCGGTGGGGTGCGTGGTGGTCGTCCTGGCAGATCTCGGTCCAAGACCCGCCCGGACTCTTTGGGGGTGGGTACAGTCACGCCTCGGGCAGATTCCCAGAAGGACATGGGAAATCACGTGGATGAGCAACTTTTCTCGGACTCGGAGTCCAGAGCGGACTCCATTGCCCATAATCCCTTGGGTGATCACATGACTCATGACAATCGTTCACGCACCTGTCAGCGTTCTCAATCACCCGAGTATTAACTATGAACACCTGTGTTTTGAAGTCATATGACTCTTTTAGAGTATACCAGCCCGGGCTTTAGTTAGGGTCTTTGCGAGGTATTGCTTCTTCTGAACGTACTGAGCGTTTTTCTGATCTGTCTGTGTGTGCTTGTTATGACCCACGTTTGTTATACTGACCTTGACTTTTCCCTACTCCTTTTGTACCTCTGCTGATTGTGTTTTGGATTTGTGTTTTGACCTTTTTGCCTGCCTTTTGACAACGATTTCGACTTTCCCCTTGGTTTTTGTCTGCCCTGTGTTATGATCACTTCGGTGATCTTCTGCTGCCTTTTGGTTAAGACCCACGCTTGTTTTTCGACCACGCTTTTGTCACCTGATAATAAACCCTGTGTGCATTTTTGATCCGCGAGCGTCTGAATTCTGTTGCTACATCACAGATTGTACCAAACACAGAAGTTAATGTATTTCAAAAGTGTTGAGTAAACAGTTGTATGTCCATTGATAACATTTATCTTCTGAGCCACAAAATATTTAAGCAATGACTCTGTAATTTTAAAATGTAATGAGTAAAGAAACGTGTATGTTCTACAAACATTTGAATTTAGATTTTACAAGCTTTAAAAAATCAAGTAAACTGACTGTCCTTATAGTTTCGAGTTCTCCTAATGTATGCCCATTTAGAATATACCATCAAAAAGCATCACATGGTGTAAAGCTTTGCTTTTATTCTTGTCCAGTGTAATATTGCTGGAAGATATGTGTAGACTGTATAAAAGGGCTTTGAGCCCTGTCAATAATAACATACTCAGGATTTGCTCTGTGTTTTGAGAAGGTGATTTTGCTGATCATATCACTTCAAGGAAAATGATTTAAGGAGAGGGGTTTTGATGGCACAGTTTGTCTAGACTGTATAGCTGCTACTAACATATGTATTAAACCTGGAATAAAAAACATTATTTTATAAACACAGTGCATTTGTTATTCTTGGAGAAAAAAAATAAGGTTGTTATAATGATATTGATTATTTTTAAACAATCTTTTTCCTCAAACAACTGATTATGTGTATTATTTTTTTATTATGATATCTTTTATTTACAAACATTCTAAGCTGGTCAACAGCTTTCAGAGGTGGAATTTGCACTCATTTACTTCAATTACATGCGTTAATGAGTGAATTGATGTCATTTATATAAGATCTTTATTTAATTTCAATATTTTTGACTATTTAAAATTTTCAAATAAAAAAGCAATCTTTAATTACTGTTTAAAAAACAAACGGAAAGAAGTAAAAACAACTAATTCAAGTACACTGTATTGCACTGTAGAAGAATATAATTAGAACTGGGACCATTTCATTTTTCACGCACTAATTTCAGTTCACAACTACTTCATTTTCTTATCAGTTAAGGGAGTGCCAGTGTTGATTTACTCGAGATGAGTAAGACTTGATAAGGTTGGCAGCCCGCTGACTGTATGCCACTGCTGGTCCACCCTCGAACCAGATTGTTCTGCATACAAAATGCATGGCTAGGCCCAATATTAAATGATTTATGGTGACACTGTGCAAGACTGGTTATAGCTGTGTAACTGGCTTTATTTAGTCATTAAAATGATTTGCTACACTAATTTACAAAGCATAATGAAAGAAAGAAATGAAGGAAAAAATAAGTAAATCAGACTGCAAGGGGAACATGAGCAATGAACAGTGGTATTTTGTTTAACACTCAACCACTAGTGGGGCAGAAAACACTGAGCAAACCCATGGGCCACCAGCTTTGACATCCACAGGCCAACAGTAGCCCACTATCCTCTTGCTATCTGGAGAATTAGATTCAACCATTATGACTTCATGAATTATTCATTATACATTACATATTTTAAAGACAACAAAGTGACTTAATATAAATTAATATAAATATTTGGTCTTTGTGCTGTATGACAACTACAGAACAGTGAAGACAGGAAAGCAGAGACATACGTCATTCTTCTGCGTGCAGGTTTGCAAAACGGTAGGCGCTATTCATCCATCTGCTGCTTTTTACTATTTTCCTTGCATACAAACACTCAAGAGGCAAAGAACAGTGCTTTTTGGATCCACACCAACCCTTCCCCCCCTTTCCCACTGTCACGAAACTTGAAAAGGGAAGAGATGCAATAAGTAAGACACAACCCCACATGTGGCGCTGAGTTATTGGCTAAGTGAAGCGGTTTGCACTTAGTGATGCCATGAACGTTGTTATGAAGTCCTATAACTGGTTTGTTAAACGTTTTATGCTGGTCTGTGTTTAGGAATGCATTTTTCTATATACAAATATGTAACCACTTTCAAACTGTTTGCTCTAATTGCCCAAGCCATTCATTCTGGACTCGCTCGGGAGCGGATATATATCCAATCTAGAATCACATAAGAAAGGCTACGTTCACATTAGCAGGCTTAGAAGTTGGCTAAGAAAATCCGCAGTAGTAAATCATTAAAATAACAATGTCAGTTAAAAGCAGATTTGCATATTTTTATTAATCTTTGAAGAGACTAATCACAAATAGCTTTATCTACCACTATTTACGTTTGGATTTTCGGGTTAAGTACCACCTTTCCAAACCCTGGTGTAGGTGGTATTTAGCAAAACTTAGGATGGAGATTTTTGCTAAATCTGGCAACCCTGTGAGGAGGTCCAGCTTCCACTCGCTGTCGCTTTCTGGAAAAGCGAAACAGCTCGCGCTCCCTCTAAGGCGAGTCACGTTCGCTTCCCGAGAGTCTCTGAGAGGCCCTGAAACCTTCACTGTCTCCTCTGAAAGATTTGACCAGATTGGACCAGATTTTCTCACCAGCTAGAAAAACGTAGATTCATCGGTGTGATTGCAGTTTAGTGGTGAAATGAAAGAAGACAACTAATTACAACCAGAACCTTTACTAGACTGAACTTTCTCATTATTGTATTTATCAGAGATGAAGCCACAACGCACCCGCTTATCACTGTGTTTCCTTCTGCGGCAAGCTGCACTGTTAGGGGCCGTCGCACAATTGCAGGAAGAAATGTTTAGCGTCGACGTTTCAACATTCTATACCCATTGTCACATGCTCAAATTAAAGACACACAGAAACATTCATATGGCACGCATGAATAATTTCAGCAATTATCGTGATATTATTTACGCAGTTTTTTATACATTAGATACAGAATACCCTATTCTTCTCAGCATTTAATTTTAAAATAACGTATTGATGTGCATTTAAGTGGCTGACCTCATGGGGTCAAACCATCTTAGAAAAACACATTTGAATGTTTTCTTCTTTTAAATTTTAAAATGTATTTTATATGCAAAATTGATAGAATGAAGCTATTATATTAAACTTTTTATTAAGGCTATTTTTGGTAAATAGTAAATTAATGTACTGGATAATGATTTTATTAGTCCAGTTAATCTATTAAACTCTCTCATTATTAGACCTAATAATGTGAAACCCACTTGGAAAATACAGATATTTGTTCTTTACATACTACAAGGCTTATTTTGGTAAATACTAAAGTAATTTATTTGATAATAATTTCAATAGTCTAAATTAATATACTCAACATCATTTGAATAGTCGGAGAGTTTAACAGATTAATTGGACTATTAAATCTTTATAAAATAAATTACTATTTACCAAAATAAGCCATGTAGTATGTAAGAATAAATATCTGTATTTTTATAAGTTGGTTTCACATCATTAGGTCTAATAGTGAGAGTGTTTAATAGATCAATTGGACTATTAAAATCATTATCAAATAAATTAGTTTACTATTAACCAAAATTAGCCTTGTTGTATATGAGGAATAAATATCTGTATTTTCCAAGTGGGTTTCACATTATTAGGTCTAATAATGAGAGAGTTGAATAGATTAACTGGACTAATAAAATCATTATCCAGTACATTAATTTACTATTTACCAAAAATAGCCTTAATAAAAAGTTTAATATAATAGCTTCATTCTATCAATTTTGCATATAAAATACATTTTAAAATTAAAAAGAAGAAAACATTCAAATGTGTTTTTCTAAGATGGTTTGACCCCATGAGGTCAGCCACTTAAATGCACATCAATACGTTATTTTAAAATTAAATGCTGAGAAGAATAGGGTATTCTGTATCTAATGTATAAAAAACTGCGTAAATAATATCACGATAATTGCTGAAATTATTCATGCGTGCCATATGAATGTTTCTGTGTGTCTTTAATTTGAGCATGTGACAATGGGTTTAGAACGTTGAAACGTCGACGCTAAACATTTCTTCCTGCAATTGTGCGACGGCCCCTAACAGTGCAGCTTGCCGCAGAAGGAAACACAGTGATAAGCGGGTGCGTTGTGGCTTCATCTCTGATAAATACAATAATGAGAAAGTTCAGTCTAGTAAAGGTTCTGGTTGTAATTTGTTGTCTTCTTTCATTTCACCACCAAACTGCAATCACACCGATGAATCTACGTTTTTCTAGCTGGTGAGAAAAAGCGTAAGTCCGAATCTCACACGAATGTCCAATATTAAACTAACTTTACCGCAAACGTGAGTTAACGTAGATTTAGAAGAATTTATACTTTCGTACTGAGTATTTTCAGACTCACCTTTAGCCACATGTAGGAATCTACATTTTACTCAGTTCCATTTTTCCGTTAACGTTTAGTCATGTATGTAGTGTGTAACTCATTTTGTGTTTCGTTTCAGTCCTGTTGGTGTGTCAACTGGACTGACTGACTTTTTGCTCATCTTTAGCATCAATATTCAGCATTCTTTTCATACCTTTACTAATCGAGTTAATCATTTTATTCAGTACTTTTACTGTGGGTGTTGTGAAAGTCGTGCGTTGTGTACTTGGTCTAAACTACACAGAGACGGAGACACAGAGGCGACACAGTCATGCAAACAGCAGCTCTGGTTAATCGGCTTTTATGCGCCCATGATGGCCGAATGGATCTTGAGGACTTCTATGGTCAGCTGTCTGGACTGTCTTTACGTGATGAAGTAGAAAAAGTACTCAAAGACACGGATATGTTTCTGACCACTGGTGACGGAAACAAAGTGGTGGTTGCCAAGACCAAGCTGAGACTTTGTAGAGTCAGAGAATGTCAAGGCTGCAGCAACCTTCACCTGTGTAAAATGTACCTGTTTGGACTGTGTCCATACGACAGAGAGAGGTAAGATCATGTGTGTAAGACCTGATTTGTTATTTGTTATCTGATTTTTTATTCTCATTTTATTCTCATACAGTGCTGTCTGGCTAGCTTTCTTATCATTTTCACCTGTAGCGATTTAATTTCACTTGATTCAAATACACAATTCCCGGATAAAACATTTTACATCAACACAGGTTTGTCTTTCAGTTTACTTTCAGCGATAGTTGTATTCATATACTATTTTATTATGCTTAAATGATGGACATATTTAGTTATGTACAGAGCAAAAACAACGCATCATTTTTTTGTGATTTTAATAAAGTAACACCCCATTCTATAGGCTTTGGCTACACTGCTGCACCTATTCCAGGCCATATGATATTTGACTGCTTAATTTCCTAAAACAGACTGAAGTCTTTGCCCAGGTTTCAGTTCAAAATTCAAAACAATTTATTCATTCATGCAGCCACTGTATTCTCAGTCACAGTGTTCCACAACTCTGTTTCGAATCTCTTTTCTCCTGCACAGACGAGGGTGCCATTTCTGCCATGACCTTGGTTCAGAGCATAACATAAGTGTGCTGCGCCAACACAACCTGCTGGAGCTGGACCGCACTGAGCTGTGCGTTATACTGCTTCAAAATGACAACACCTTGTTGCCTCCAGTAAGACTCTGAAATAGTATAATCTGTCTCTGTGAAACAGCTGCACTTTATTAATATTTTCTCTGGGGCTCAGTCAGACCATGCAGTGGTTTGGAGGTTGGAGGTTGGAGGTAGACAAGCTATTCGTTTTAAAGCTGACAGTGACATATGTGGACCTGTGAGTAAACACTGAATAGCATTAAAATGATACTTAACCATGTGTACACGAATTTGCATGACCTTTAAAATTGTTGCAATGCAGCAATTTTTTTTTTGTGAGTGTGATTATTGCACATTGTTGAATTTTTTTTATGAGCAAGAGTGTGTGTGCAGACTTTGTTTACATTTTGAGGCATGAAAAGGCTTTTGCATTGATAGTCAAATAAGACAGTGGTTAATGAGTAGCTGGTTGCGTGATGCACTTAAATGACCTGTGCATGTGACATTGACCACCCACGGTTTTATTAGTATCTGCAAAAATATCACAGACAACACACTGATAATAAGCCGCTTTTTAGTCTGCAGCATTGCCAGGATTCAGTCTCCTAACAATAGGACAGTAGTGTAGACAGTTGTGTCACTGGGGAACCCAACACGACACATTCAACTATAACTTTTTAAATTTTATAAACTGGCTGAACTTGTGACTTTGAACAAAAACCCCATCATGATTTAAAAAAAAAAGCGTAAAATGTATCCAGGTCTAAACTTAAGCATGAGAGCAATATTGTAGTGTCAGCACAGAAGAACCAGACAGCAGACTGAAGAATTCTAGGGATCAATTTTTTTTAGTAATGCTCTCACTTGTTCCTGCAAGATCTTCTCCCTCCCCTGCAGCAAATCTGCACCGTTTGTCCCATTCCTGCCTTAATGTAAAATGTTTTGGCCCATTCCTGGGTGCAGTCCTGTACAATTGGTTTCCATCTGTGTTGGTCAAGGTTGAAAATGACTACCATAGGTCAGATTTGACTTTAGCAATGTCTTAGCTTGTATTTAGAACTAGTTTAAAGCTTCCATTTAGGCTGAGTTTATTACTTTTCGTTATTTTGCTGTTAGATATTATTTATATATGCCAATTAAGTGGTAGTTATCATTTTATTAATTCATTTATTCGTGGGATTTCTGTACACATACGTGTTGTCCCCCTCCCGCCTTCAGTGAGCTGGTTAACCGCTCGCTCCCTCACATGACACTGAAAATTAGCCCCAAGATATTGTGGTGGGTCCTGTGCCCACTGGACTCTTGCAGAAATGCAGATCTCTAGCTCCAACCCCAGTGCTACAATATTTATATTATTTATGACTGATTTTACACGGTGTATTTGAGTTTTAAGTTAAAATGAGTAACAATTGAGAACTAACAATCATAAAAAACAGCCACTCATTAACTAAGACTACTGTAATATGAAGTAAAATATACAAATATAAATAAAATGATATTGATTGATATTATTGGTTATCTGAATAGCTCCCTAAAATCTGTATCAGTATTAGCCACAAAAAATTCACATTGGGTCCATGTTTTTACCCTAGAACGTTAGACAAAATCTTTTTGCGGATGCTCAAGAATGATGTATGCTTCATAGTCCCTCTTTTCCCTCAAGCTCACTTCTTTGACTACTTTTATTCCTTAACTTTTCTCCAGCCCCTGCTGCATTACTGAATGCTTGTATTGACAAAATCTGTTCACAGGTGTGTTTTACATATAACAAAGGCAGTGGTGAATATGGGAACTGTCCCGATAAAGAGGCCTGTAGAAGACTCCACATCTGTCAGAGCTACATCAGAGGAAACTGTGATGACAGCAGTAAATGCAGCCGATCCCATGACTTCTATGAACCTCATCCAATGAAAAACTTACAGAGCCAAGGCGTGCCCAGTCAGCTGATGGGGTCAATGCTGCCAGCCTACAGGAACAGGCTTGCAATCTGGGATGCTAATAGTCACAGAGTTAGCACCAGTACCACTTCAACTGCAGCAGGTATTACGTACCCACTTCTTTTTTCAGAATTGTTGCCAATTTTGTCCCTCTTAGCTCTACAGTTATCTTGAAACTTGGCCACTGTGCCATGTATCCTAATGTTCCAAAGGATTTTGGAAGCAAAACAGCCGTGACACATCCAGCACCATACTTCACAGAGAGGCTAAAAAGTTTATAGAATCCATTTGAAGTCACATAGTATTTTGCTGATTTCAAGCAGTTTTTTGTGGCTTAATAAGAGGACAGAGTTTCTTCAGACAAGCCTCCAAATAGTTTGCTAGCATGGATGTAGCCTAATATTATAAATGTAAAACACTTTAGGCTTAATGGGTTGAACTTGCACTTAAAATGCTTATGCTTGATTTAAAGTCTGGTTTAAACGTGGTTTAAACTGCCTTGAAGCCTACAAACTATTCCATCAAGAGTCAGCTGCACTATCAATCATATAAATCAGAGCTACTATTCAGTACTCCTATTTCTAACTCAAAATGCAAAACGCTTTTTAAATACATTATTACATTTTATTTATTTAGAATTTATATTTATTTATTTTTATTGTTATTGTTCTGCAGAGAAATCTGAGATATGCTTGTTCCACATCAAACATTACTGCAAACGAGGGAGTAAGATCACATTTCTTTTCAGTGCCTAAACAACACATATATAATATACAACATGTGACCAGTTATACCACAGTCATAAAGTCATTGTGTTTTTTTACAGATAGGTGTCAAAGGGTGCATTTCTATCTGCCGTATAAGTGGGAAATTAGTGATGGACACAGCTGGAAAATTCTGCCAGACAATCAAGAGATAGAACAAGCATTTTGTGATCCTGCTAAGGCATACAGGTATGTATTCTAAAGTTGATACATCTTGCTAGAAGAAGTGCTCACGTACAGTGTGTCTGGAAAAAAGTATTCATAAATTATTCCATGTACCATGAGTATAGTACACTGTAAAAAAATTATGGCAACAAGTGACACGTAATATAGTTGAATAGATTTTACTTACCTAAACTTTGATTCAAATGCATTAAATAAGTGAACTAAATTTAAGCAAAAAAATTAAGTAAATGTTAATAAAAGCAACAGTTAAAATGTGTTGTATTTAGTAATAGTATACCACATTATGAGTTAATGTAGCCCACAAATATTGAGTAAAAAAAAAAATGAATTTAACAAGGAAAATTTAGTAATATCTACCAAGTGTCTGAGCAAAATTGCTTTATATTTACTCAATATCTGGGTAAAATGTATTTACATTTACTAAATATCTGGCGAAAACTGGTTTATATTTACTACACTTACTACACAATTTACTACAGCTGTGGTTGCCAGATCTTCACAGTAAAAATATATAGTGGAAAAGTATAAGACATTACAGTATGCTTTTTTGCCGACCGTAAATTTCTCTGTTGAGAACTATTGTTTGTTTATGGTTAATTACTGTGAAAAAAAACATATATTGTAAACCTGTATACAGTAAATTATTTTGAAGACAGCAGATATACTATTAACATAATTACAGTCCATCAGTGATAAACACAGTACAACCGTATGACACATTACAAATTAGTATTTTATTGTAAAGTTCAACTTTACAGTAAATTACCAGCAACTGTGGTTGCCAGAATTTCATTGCAAAAAAATACAGTACAACCCATAATGGATTACAATTAGTTAGCATAGATTTAACAGTCAACAACTGCTTATCGTAAATTACAAAGGAAACAACAAATAACACCCATTACAATCCAAGGTACAGACTATATTGATGAACTTCAAGAAACTTTTCTTGCATGATTCAATAAAATGTCCAGGATACTCACAATGCTATGTTGAGATGATGAAAAAACAGCAAGTGTCCATATATATAACGGATAATCCACAGTGCAATGAATAAAGATCATGAAAAGAATTAGCCACTTGCCCTGGCTGATCAAGAATAATGAGTCACCAAGTCCAGACTTGACCGCAGAAGGTGCTCAACATAGGATAGAGTCTCACACATGATGTTGGATGATTACTGGAACTTAAAGTGTGTACTGCCACCAGTTCTGCATGAGAACTCACATATTGTCCATCAGTTGTTCACTAGGGACCTGCACGACCCTCTCTGTAGCCAGAAAACAAAAACAAGGTAAAAGTTAGATCAATGCTTTGCTTGAGCATGATGCATACACAAAGATAAACGCAGGGCCTTGTGTTTTTAAACTGAGCTCCAAAGTAGTAAATATATGAGAAACCAGCATTCAGCAATGCAGTTCTGCAGGTCACTTTTATAACTCATAGAGTTTGGGAGTGAAAAGTAAACAAGGACACATTTCAACACTACGACGTCATCAGTATTTGTTTCACCTCTGTCGACTAGTAGCCTAAATGCGCAGATGCCTGCAGTCAATCAGACACCTTAGCAGCAACTTAGAAACACCCCAGCAGCCAATTGTTACATCCTACACCATGAAACAGCTTAGTACCACCTAATACATCTTAGCAACCACATAGTTCACCTTATCAAGCATAACAGCCCGGCAGCCACCTTATGCACCTACACTGTAAAAAATTAGTTTGCACAAGAAAAAAATCTAATATAAATTTCCCCTGGCTTCATCTTGTTTGGCCAACTCCTGTAAAAATGACTGGTTTTACTGACTGATATCTGTCAGCACTAAAATATTTAGCTGAGCTAACAAGAACATTTGTTGTACTAAGTACAACTAGTCTCAAGCAAAGAGGAGAAGAAGTACAACACAGGTGAACACAGCTCATCAATCACTGCCACTGTCCTAAGAAAGTAATATATGCATTATCATATATTAAGACACTACATACTGCATCATGTCTTGAAAAGTTAACAATTCTTAAAGCTCATGTGTTCACAGGTAAGCATAAATGAACTGATTACACCAGAAATCCTTTAGAAACAATTGCATTAACTGCCTAAGCAAAATATATACAACTTAAACTACAACGTTGTTAACAAAAAATAGAAATTAAATTACATCACTATGCTGGATTATATGTATATACTTACTGGCCATTTTATTAGGTAATTCTGCCTTGTATTTACTTACTTTTCTATTGAATCAGGTCTATTTAATATATATGTGCACTTTGTAGTTCTGCAATTGCAAATTGTAGCAGATTTTTTTTCTCTGCACTTTTTTAGCCTCCTTTCACATCATTCATCAATGATCAGGACCCGTCCAGACCACCACAAAGCAGGTACTATTGGTTAATTCTCAGCACTGCAGTGACACTGACATAGTAAGTGTGGTACTAGTGTATCAGATACAGCAATGCTTTAATCACCTCAGTGTCACTACTGGACCGAGAATAGTCCACTGATGAAGGACTAGAGGATGACCAACACAAACTGTGCAGCAGCAGATGAGTTATTGTCTCTGACTTTACATCTACAAGGTGGACTGACAAGGTAGGAGTGTCTAATAGAGTGGACAGTGAGTGGACACAGTGTTAAAAACTCCAGCAGCACTGCTGTGTCTGATCCACTCGTACCAGCACAACACACACTAACACACCAACACCACGTCAGTGTTACTGCATTGCTGAGAATGTTTCATGAATAATATCTGCTCTGTGGTGGCCCTGTAAAAAGGGAAAGGGGGGGGGGCACTGTATACAAAGAAACAGATGAACTCCAGTCTGTAAGTCAGGAGTACTGTAAAAATAGCCAGTGAGCATATATGTAGAGTATGTTTGGGAGAGAGAATGAACATCTGAATCCTACCTGTTAAAAATACTCTTGACAGATGTGGAGGTCTCTGGTCAATTTCTTTGTCATTTGCAGTTTGTGAAGATGGATTCCTCATGACTGAAATAAGTGAGCAAAATTAGTAATAAATACTCACCATACAAAACATAAGGATAAAGAATCTTGAACAAACAGTAAACATTATCAAAAATAAATCTACAAAGTAACAAGAAAAACAAAGGTATTTGCAAAGCAATACAAGAAAGAGCAGGTTACTGTGAACAACATTGTACTGTCTTTTACAATAGCACACAATCTTTAAAGTTCTATTGTTTTCATACAACAGTTTTGCAAAGTAAAGAAAAAAGCAAAGCAGATGAGTCAAATACATGTTAAAATACATAATATTGACAATGTCTTGCGCTAAAAGACATAATAAAAAAATATTCAGCGTAATATTACAAAGAGCAATACCATAAAGATACTATAAATTAAAGTACCTGGGACAATTCCTTATCAGTTGAGAACCAGAAGCAGCCGTGGATAGCTGTAAAAGATAAAACATTTGGTAAAAGTTTAAAAGACTAGCTTCAACAACTGAAACAGATACAGGCACATTTATGTTGGCTAACTGCATTTGTATAAGCATTCAAGCCTCTCAAATCTAGTAAACATGCTGCTTTTATAGCTTAGTGATATTTTTCTGGCTTTTTCTGGAGTTGGTAATTGGCAAGAAGCAGGGTACACAGCTTCTTAGTTGTTGTGTAAGACAGGTGTTGGTAATTTGAGTAAAAGCAGAAATACTCTTGGTTAAAATTACTTGTGAAAAGGTATTCAGTCAACATCTGTACTTGAGTCAGAAAACATTTAAAAACGTCACAAAACTGTTTTTTTTTCCCAAAGGTTATTACAGTCAGTCAACAGTCAGTCATGAGAAACACAGACATACTAATATTACTAATAAGACTACTATTAAGTTTAAAACACGTACTTCAATTAAAGACACACATATTCATCTTAGACGATTACAAATGTAGAAAAATGAGCGTAAACAAACCAGGAACATGCCAGAGATAAGAGAGGTAAATAAAAGCTGCTTTCATAGCTACCTGAGAGATGCTGGTGGTAGATGTAGGAAACGAGTAGGTAACTGCAAGAAGAAAAGATATGGTTAAGCCTGAAAATAGGGACATAAGGAGAAGAAAGAACAGATTTCACAAACTTTAGTGTGATATAGTTAGGATTGTTAGCATGTAAAATCACTGGGCAGCTAGTTACCAAATCGCAGCTCAGTTGACCTTATTAAACAAATGCTTTACCTGTACCGGTCACTCATCTCTCCCTTAGATTTCTGTTTTTATCCTGCAAACTCGTGTGAGAAAAGCACTGAATAGCAGATCACAGACCATAGTAAGCTAGGTAAGCTAGCTAGTTTCTTTTCTGTCTCCCTTTCAGATTTGAGCCCATTATGGTCAGCACAGGTTAGCTGGAGTGAACTGGTCGTCCAGCAGAGCTATTAACTTAGCCTAAGCTCGCGCATATATAGCTAAGCTAACCTAGCTAGGTTATTTAGCTAGCTAGCAACTCTAACAAGTGTACACACTAATCAATTCGACACCGTCTCACTTTAAAATTGTAATTTAGCTAAAAAGGTACCTCTCATATTTTGTGAGAGCAGTCATCTAAAAGAGGTGACTCACTAGCGAACTAGTTAGCTAACGTTAGCTAGGTTAGCTGACTTTACTGTTAGCAAGTGACGCTTATTTTCGTTTTGACATATAAAGAGTTCAACATTCACAAATTACAGAATTAGGTTTGAATAAATATTCAATTGAAAAGCTGCTGGTACGCCAAATAAACCAATACTTTATTCACCAAACGCATTTTGAATCCTTTCGAAGTTTCCAGAAGCGGCTCTAGGCGCGCAGTTGTCGCCTCCGCGGTGAAACGTTGGTGACGGCTCGGAGCTCAGTACGGGTGTAATCTGCTCTCCTCAATACGGGTGTAATCTTCCAGTATGTCTTTTGCCGACACATCAGAGAGCCTCGCCTCTATCCGTACCTCAACAGCAAAATCTGTAATTTAAGTCCAGGCCATGCTTCTCTGCTAATCAAAACTAAAAATGCATTCGCTAGCTGCTAGCTTAAATATGACTTACGGCACAGGAAATGTGACATGTTTGATGAGCTGCAGTAACTTAAAAGAATGGGCAACTGCCACAGGAACATACTTGGAAATTGTTTGTTTCCTAGCAGTAATTAAAAAGGTCTTACCTTTGGGAAGTTGGAGGACTGCAACCCCTGAAACGTGCAGTCACGGGTGTCCATGAGGCATAAAATGCGTTGGGCAGAAGTGTGAGGTGATTAAAACCAAACACCTCCCAATGAGTAAAATCTATCGATTTTCTGCATCGTTGTTGTTCCTGATAAAACACGAGTAAATTCTACTCAATGTATCACAGCTAATTTTATTTAACCAAAACTGCGTAAAATGCAATTAATAAAACATTAAAATTTATTGGATTCAACTCAGTTTTATTTCTAACTGAACATAGTCTTGTTTATTATGTAGAGGTTACTATTAGTTATTTAGTAAATATTAATTAACCCGTCCCACTTTTTACAGTGTATAATACGCTATAGATTAGTGTTTTAGTGCAGTCCTTATGGACCCATTACCACTCCATTTTGCTGTATCATAGCTCCCAGCACAATCACACTCTTAAAAAGATGGTTCTTGAAGGGACTTTGGCAGAAGCCATCTGCCCATTTCAATACAGTGAAGGGTGTTATGGTGCGTTCCATTCGAACTGGGAAGTCAGAAATTCCGAGTTCAAAATCCAAAATGACTGAACTATACATCAACATACTAAAAGCTGTAATATTACGTTGTTTATTAACACTTCTGTTACCATGTGTGTTTGTGTCTAACTATATCAGTCATACATACAGTACTGTCCAACTTTTATTGGTGGACATGTTGCTACAGTGTTTGGATTTGCAAAATACTGTATAATGCATAGTTATCAACTGGTATTGCTAACATTGGCTAATGGCTAACAGTTAACCTGCTTGGTGAAGAAATTGTAGGTTTTACCCAATGTTTTACTGGAACACGATCAACTCGGGTGTGACGTCATTCCCAGCTCCGACATCCGACTTCCGAGATAAATGGAACGCACAGACAGTTAAGGAATCCACTGAACACAAATGTTGACTTCGGGAGCAGAACTTGCTCAGATATCAAAACCTTTCAAATCCTGAAAATAATGGTGTACAAAGCTGTTTAAAAGCCATAGCAATAAAATGCTTTAAAATGCTTCACAACCTCACTTTAATTTGCTAGCTTGCCAGTTAGCATGCTAAAGGCTACACAGCTAACAGCAACAAAACGATAGGCACAACACCACAGTTCTAAAGCAAAGCTTGCAGCCAGACAAATCAATTATTCACAAAATGTATGTACTTTATGTTCAGGCATCTCAAAAAATGATTTTTGCATTCCAAAGTTTGCATGGTTAACCGATTACCTCACTGAGGCTAACCTAGCTGAGGGTGAGTGTGTGCAGTTGAAAAATAGGCTCCTCACTGCCTGTAGGTGACACAAATCCAAGCTCATGTCAAAAAAAGTATTGAAACTGGGTACATAGCTGTACAGAAACATTATCCTGATTTCTTGTAAAAGAATTTCTTTTTCCCCTGTTCATTTTCCAGTGATGGCAGTGTACCAGTATACTTTGACACTATGACTCAAGGTTTTGCAGAGGTTCGCCGTCTGTCCACTGTTTCTTCAGTGCTGAATCCCAACTTCATCTTCACCACCACATGGGTCTGGTACTGGGAGGATGAGAATGGAAACTGGATCCAGTATGGATCTTCAGTAAGTGACACTCTATAGGACAAGAAGCTGTACTAATTTGAAATAGTTGAAGAATAAAGGCCAACTTGTGTTGGGATACTATGTATTTTGTTCATTACTTACAGCAAGGAACACACCGCACACCTTCCATCACCAGTGAGGATCTGGAGAGAAAATACCAAGAAGACAGCAGCGCCACAATCGAGTTTACAGCAGGCCAACGTTCTTGTGAGCTCAACATGCAAGGTTAGGCCTTAGCTGTGCTTAAAAGAACACCTCACATTTCATGGATTTCAGAAATTTATTACATTGATCTTTAGGTACTTCTTAGGACAAGAGCTTCTTACGATATATTCTGTTGCTGTGAATATGTAACGCCATTATTGTACTGTTTAACTGCCTAAGATCTACAAAGTGAAGTACAAATATAATATATTGTTCAATTTGTTGTTATTTACTTGTTTTCTGCCATTTTACATTTAATTGACTAAGCCTTTTTCACCCAGACATGATGCAGTACAACAGACAGATGGGCACCAAAAGGTCAGTCAGGAGGAGACCTGTGTTTCTGTCTGCAGAAGATATACAGAAAATCAAAGCAAGGTATTCTATGTAGCTCTATGCTTTAAAAATATTATTCCAGTTTCATATATGCTGTGAATTACAATACATTCTGAAATACTGCAAATTTATTGCAAAGTTATTGTAAATTATACATGTATATTATTATTTGTTATAAATTGTGATTTTCTTCTGAACAGCATATGGAACTAAAAATCCAGCTGGAGAAAAGTGAAAAAAAAGTCTTAAAAAGACTATGCTTCAAAATATTGATGTTTATTTCTTTTTTTCATAGATGGCAACTTATAATATATACATTTTTTTTTCCATAGTCAAAAGGAATCCAGGGGTCCCTTACAACATTCTAAAGCTTTGCCTCATCACTGGGATAAGACCAACATGCCTGAAAGTGGTTTCAAGGTAACACATTTTGTAAATTTCATCAATACAGTCCCAGTGCCCAAACAACTGTCATAATAATATTTTAATGTAAAAATATTATGATATCTACATTCAGTTTTTAGGAAAAATGAATACTGAGAGTTTTTAAGAGCAGTAAAATGCATGTGCAAGTGCTGTTCCAAACATTTGACAAGAATAACACAAGTCAGTTACAAGTAAAATCCCTAAATCTTGTTAAATATAAGTGACAGTACTTTGTAGCCTTTATTTATGTTATTACTTTATAGATGCACTACAGTGGTGTTAGGACTGCTATTATGACCATGATGCTGAATATAAGGACAAAAAGACAGGCAGTCCAAAATATAAAATACGGAATGCAAAAAAGTAAATTAAAATCAATTAATTGCCATATACACCAAGAGACATTTTGGACAATGAAAGAAGATGCAATATATATAGATGACAAGTGTCTGTAATGATATTTGCAGAAATAGCAAATGTTTCTTTTCCAGAGAGTTCTCCTAAACAGCAATACTGATGAGTATAAGAAGACTGATGAGCTCTTTCGTCAGACCATGTCTGGATTTCATGTGAAGAGCATTGAGAGAGTGCAGAATCGGGACTTATGGGAAGTTTTTCAGTGGTATGTTAGATGATCTACAAAGTGTAGACCACCATGTGAATAAGATAAATCAGAGGAGAGGGAGTACTGACCTGTGCACTGCAGGGGTATGCTATTTGCGGGACTGGAAAATACTACTCTGTGAGTTGATGGATTTTGGGTGTTTTACTGTTCAGCCTGCATTTGATTTCTAAAAGGAGAATGTCTTATGCATCTCTTACAGGCAAAGAGATGTCCTGAAAAAGAAAACAGCAGGCAAAGAAAATGAGAAATTTCTGTTTCACGGAACTCAGCACAAGCATATCGATGCAATCTGCCAGCAGAACTTTGACTGGAGAATCTGTGGAGTACATGGGACAGCTTATGGGAAAGGTAAGTTCATAATTTAGCAACACTTTTTTCATTCTACAATTTGCAGTAAATTATAAAACAGAATACACTAAACTGCACTATGCTGTGCAAGTCCTCCAGGATTGGAGGATGATTTAGAATTTAATTCAAATAAAAAGACAGAAAGAGGCAAATGTAATACTTAGTACTGTCTGGTGACTAATGAACAGTATACTAATGTGAGAGTTTCATTTAGGAATGGGGTTATAATCATTAGAAGACTATATTGTCAGGAACTGATCCTTAAATTTGAACTGTAGGACTCATAATTAGGAATGAGTCCTAATGTTTGAACAGTCGAAAAGTCATGAAAGTTAAAAAGCAATGCAATGCAAATTAGCTTCTCTCTAACATCATATGTTCTCATATTTAAGAGTGAGTTTAGACTCCACCTAAGGGCAGTGTAGAGCTTGTGTTTTACATTTTGTTCAGAGTTTCTTATCTGTTTAGCCTAAAGAAGGACTGCAGCTGACTAAAGGCTACCACACTCTGGATAAGAAGCCAGAGGGTCTCTGGTGCAGGATAGCAGACAGTACAAAGCAGAGCTATAGCTCATAGGAACCATCACAGAAAAGTGGCAATAAACAAGCAGCTCAAACTCATTTTACAATCTACTTGTGTAGATTTAATGGTATAAATCTTTTAGTGTCATTTAGTGAATTTATAATGTGCAGTATTAGTTCATTAGCTAAACTCGCTGTAAGAGCTAGAATGGATGAGGTAAAATATGATGTGAACATGCTAGTAATATTACTTGAGGTGTCATGTATATTGGCATTTGTTTGTCTTAAAGGCTTTATATTGGCACCTTTCTTTGTGTAAATTTCAAGCCACACCTAACCTACTCTGGATTTGTGATCTAGATTTAATATAGTACAATAATAGTAAGATGCAAGGTGACGTGACAGTCTCTGGTGTTGCCTGATGGTGTGCAGCAGCCTGTAGCCTTAAGAGTCCTATATTATCTTTGAAACATGCAGTTGATCAGTGCTTTTAAGTTCTAACGATGATGATGTTCAAAAAAATGTACCATGATGTAATTTAATGTGGTATGATAATTTATCATCATATTGACAATCCCTACACAGTATTCAGGTAAATAAACTCACAATGAAGGAATTAAAAACATGCATGCATCATGTTGTTACAGGGAGTTATTTTGCCAGCGATGCCAAGTACTCCCACAGCTACACTGACAACCAGTCTGGAAATCGATGCATGTTTGTTTGCCGAGTTCTGGTAGGAGAATACACCAACGGATGTCCCGACTATCTCCGCCCTCCTGCGAAAGATGGAGAGGACACCATTTTCTATGACAGCTGTGTGAATGACATCAGCAACCCCTCCATATTTGTTGTATTTGAGAAGCATCAGGTGTACCCTGAGTACTTAATTCAGTATGAAGGGGAGGCAGAGACCAGTCCTGAGCAAGTCCTCATGGATGAGTTTTCCCAGATGAATCTTATTAGTTTCGATGATTTGTCTGAATCCTGCCAGCTTTCTAGCCACTCTTCATTCTCAAGTCTTACCAGTGATGAAGAGACTATAGAGCCTGTAGACCCAGTTCTGTCCTCTGTCACAGTCACTGGCCCACGAAAATCCCATATTATTCGTCATCGTGCAGCCATTCGACCTACCTTCACACACTCAAAGACAAAATCTTTCAGAAATGGTATAGCACACCTATCAACACACACCCACCTCTCCAAGATCTCCTCAGTCAGGAAGTCCACCAGCAGGAAGACTGTAAGGCCACTGAGTCATCAAAGGTACCTTAGAAGATTTGGTTCTGTGGTGCAACCAAGTAACATGTCAGTAAATGACACAATTCCAGTTAGCAGTCAAAATGCCACACAAGAGAGCGTTGTTGAATCAGCTTTGGGATTAATTCCTGAGAATTTGTCTACAAACATGTCAGTTGATACCAAGCCATCAAATTCTGTTAGGAATCAGAAAGCAAGACAACAGAGGTCAAGATTCACTAGGTCAACTAAAGGGTTAAGTCCTGTGACCTTACCTGCAAACTTGTCAACTGATACCAAGATTTCAAATTCCAAGAGACATCAGAATGCTAGACGACACAGGACAAATTTGACCAGGTCAGCTAAAGGATCAAGTCCAGTGACTTTGTTTGAGAAGTTGTCAACTGATGCCAAGACTTCAAACTCAGGTAGAAGTCAGAAGGCCAGACAACAGAGAGCAAATTTGACCTTTAAAGAAGTAAGTCCCCTGACTTTGTCTGCAGGCTTGTCAAGTGACAGCAAGACATCAAAGCCAGATAGAAATCAAAATGCTAAACAAAAGTCGTCAAGTGTACCCAGGTCAGCTACTGGAGATGTCAAGACTTCTAAGCCAGTAAGAGGTCAAAATACCAAACAAGAGTTGTCAAATGTGCCTACGTCTGTGGTTTCTGTGGTTTCATCTACAAACTTGTCAAGAGAAACCAAGACTTCGAAGTCTGTGGTTTCTGTGGTTTCATCTACAAACTTGTTAAGAGAAACCAAGACTTCAAAGCCAGTTAGAAGTCAAAGTGCCAAACAAGAGTTGTCAAATATTCCCAGGTCAGCTGGAGCATCAAGTGTTGTGGTTTCATCTACAAACTTGTTAAGTGATACCAAGACCTCAAAGTCAGTCAGAAGTCAGAACGCTAGCCAACAGAGGTCAAATTTGACCAGTTCACCTGGAGGTTCAAGTCCTGTGGTTTCATCTGCGAAGCTGTCAACTGATACCAAAACTTCAAAGTCAGTCAAAACTCAGAATGCTAGACAACAGACGCCTGGTTTAACCAGGTCATCTGGAGGATTAAATCCAAGCTTGTCAACTCAAAGCAACACTTCCAAATCAGTTAGAAGTGACAGTGTCAAAACACAGAGAGCTCCTAATCCTGCTAGTACATCTAAGACTAGTGCTGCTTCACAAAAAGGTAAAACAACAGGTAAGGGCTGTAAAGCGAGACATTAGTTGTGGAGTAGCACCCATTTACCCCAATTTTTTTATCTTACTTAAGAAAATTCTTAGGATCTGCTATCATTGATTTGTTGAATGATAGTGGTTTGACCTATCAGATAATTACACTTCAATTAAATGACCCAAGCCCCTGCCCCTTTTGTTTCAAAATTAATACTGCCCTTTTTGATGAGCTTTAATTGCTTAATATGCTGCTGTGCAAAACCTGAGGAAGCTTTTGGCTGCATCCTGCCTGATCACACACAGCCACTTTTTTCTTATGTCTGAACTGTTTTTTTTTTAACCTGTTCTAATTTTAAAACACTTTAGTAAAGTAAGCCTAAATTTCACAGCATGCGAGACTGTTAAAGTATGTCACTCTTGTTTGTTATGTGTGGCAGTAAAGACATGTCATTATAGATGTAATGTAGTTGATAGATGGTTTGTATTTTTTTCTTTTTATTGCCCATAAAATCAAATAAGAAAAATGTGTTTAGTTATCTAGTTGAAGGTGTAAACGAATCTGCAGAAAGAGCTATACGGATTGCAAGTTTTGATTTGTGATTTATATCATGAACTTTAATTTACTTTTAAATAACAATTAACCAAATGTATGCTTTTCATTCTGTGTGGAGCATTAACATGCTTGAATAAAAACATTAAGGCAAACCACTGAGATAGTCATATTTTTTGCCCTTGGGAAAGAAAAAATATTTTTGGGCTGAATTAGCGCAATCTCACATTGAAAATTTGAAAAAAATAACTTTAATTGATGTAAACTTAGTCTAAGAACACTCAATTACTGGCACCTCTCGAACTTTTATTAACAAAGTGTAACTGTTAATAAAGTTAACAGTAACTGTTAATAAAGTTAAGTGTACTGTTGTTCATTTTATGAGCTCCACTTACCATAAAGGTGCAATTACTGTACTAAAATTATCAGCATCGTGGAACTACACAAGCACATCTGTATGGTAAGTGGACCTGATAAATTGAACAATGAGCATAGATTCAAGGTACCTAATGAAGTGGCCTTATAAAGTGAGTGTACTTCACTTATGTAAGTCCACTTATGTAAGTATTCAGGAACTCTTAACCTCTCGTCCACGACTCCTTGTTTTATTGGGGTGTAAACATGAGGTGATACAGAGTTTAAATTCCCTTAATCACCTAAAAGTAAGGATCTTCAAACTCCACCTGAAATGTAGTGACTACTCTAATGACCTTTGAACTTGTACATCATAAAACAATTACACATGGCAAAAGTAACCAAATCACTTGCTCACAAATAAAGGGCAAACCAAGTTAAAATTAAGCAAATGAAGACAAAGGTGATTTTTGGTGTGTCACTTAGTCGTTCATCAACATGGGGAAGATCAGAGAATACACAGTTAAATAAACCAATATACACATGGCCAAAAGTATGTGGAAATCCCTCCTAATTACTGAGTTCACTTTTTTCAGACACCCCCGTTGTTAATAGGTGTATTAAATGAAGCACATATCTATGTAATCTCTATAGACAAACACTGGCAAAAGAGTGGGTCGTACTCAAGAGTGCAGTGACTTTAAATGTGACACTGTCATAGGATGCCACTGGCGCCGGAGTCAGTTCATGAAATTTTTGCCTGCTTGATCAGCCCCCGTCAACTACGCCATTATTGTTAAATAGGAATATCTAGGAGCAACAGCAGCTCAGCCAAAAAACGGTAGACCACACACACTCAGACAGTGAGGCTGTAGTGTGCTGGAGTGCGTACTACAGAGTACAGTACAACACGACTGCCTCTGGAAACAACATCAGCACAAGAGTTGTGTGTCAGGACCTTCATGAAATGGGTTTTCATGGCAACGTAGCTGCACACAAGCCTAAGATCACTAAGCAAAATGCCTTAGTGTCAGCTGTAGTGGTGTAAAGCATACCGTCACTGGACTCTGGAGGAGTTGAAATGTGTTTTCTGGAGTGATAAATTACACTTCAATGTCTGTCAGGCTGACGGACTAAACTATGTTTAGCAGATGCCAGGGAAACGCTGCCCACTGGAATATACAGTGTCAGTAGTAAAGTTTGGTGGAGGAGGGATAATGGTCTGGGGCTGTTTTTTCAGGTTTTGGGCCTCTTAGTTCCAGTGAAGGGTAATGTTAATTGCTCTTGCATGAAAAGACATTTTAGACACTTATATGCTTCCAACTTTGCGGGAACAGTTTGGGGAAGCCTCTTTTCTGTAGCAGCATGCCTGTGCCTCTGTGCATAAAGCAAAGTCCATAAAAGCGTGGTTTGAAAAGCTTTGGGATGAACAGGAATGTTGATTGCGAGCCAGACCTTCTCGTCCAACATCAGTGCCTGGCCTCACAAATGCGTGAATGAAGTGGAGTGGCAGATATTAAGCTCCTTGCACAAAGCGTTCCTGTAATCCTTCTGCTTCAACTCTTCTCTGGGCTTTCTAAGTCCCACTCCTCACTCACACGTCAGAGAAATCCCACGCTGTGTCCGCTCCATTTGATTCATTCTCATGATATTTATTTTATGGCTCAAGTGTATGGACAAGACACAACATACTTTATTTCATTAATTATGTAATTCATGGTCATTATTAAATGAAAAACCAGTTATACATTCTGTGATACATAGACTTTTTTTCAGAAGGTATAGGCTTGAAGCGACGGCCCGATCACAAACTAGAAAACTGCCAGGGGTAAAGATAAAGCTGCCAAGGGTTGAGTATGTGCTTTTAACACCATCTTCTTTATCGTTCACGCAGCCAAATGTACGACTTAAGTCAATGTAGCTGCAGCAGTCACTGTAGCATCACTCTTGTCACACAAAGGTAGTCAGTGTGGAAAAAAGAAAGAGCAAGAGAGAACACTGATGCTCCGACTTTATGAAAAGCCGCTCTGTTAAATCACACTGCTCCCCTCCCACTGTGCACTGCTCACATGCTCTGATTCCCACAGACACACTCTAAAATCTTGTGGACAGCCTTCTCAGAACAAAGGAGGTTGTGATAGCTGTGGGGTTGAGGGGGGGAATCTATATTAATGCCTATGGTTTCAGAATAGGATGTCCAAAAAGCTCATAGGTGTCCCCATAGTTTTGGCCATATAGTGTATGTGGTGACCATATATATATATATATATATAAGGCAGTGTCTGTGAACATCCATCCATCCATCATCTAAACCGCTTATCCTTCTGGGTCGCGGTGGGGTGCTGGAGCCTATCCCAGCTGTCATTGGGCGGAAGGCAGGATACACCCTGGACAGGTCGCCAGTCCATCGCAGGTGTCTGTGAACAGTAGGGAATAAAGACACAAGGATCATCCTTTGCAGAAGATGGTAGCTCTCTGGGTAACCATATCTCCAGACCTGCATTTAGATGCCACATCCATGCCAAAAACTATTTGAAGGCCTGCCAGAAGAAAGCTTTCATCTAAACACAAATGTAAACACCTAGAGTTCACTAGAGGCTTCTGGAACTTGACAGGATCTGGATTCTAATATCAGAAAACAATAGAATAAAAATTCTACTGAATAAAGAAAGAAAAGAATGTAGAACTATTCATTTATGTACATAGTGTAGCATAGGCTGGTTGTTCCTAAACCTGGTCATGGAGACCCATGCTCAGCATATTTTTGTTTTTGTGTGATTAATGAGACATTAATTTAAATTTTTGTGTGATTAATGATTTTTGCTCAGTGTGATTAATGAGACAAAGCAAATGTGCATAGGATGGGGTCACCACTTTCACTGCCTACCAAGGGCAACTAATCTCGGGTAGTTGAAATGACCCTGTAAGACAAACAGGTACTGGCTACTGTTTCCTCTCGCCTCAAATCATCTTTTCCCTGACAACCTCCATTCTGAAGGCTTTTTAGCCTATGGGATCCATCCTTGTGTAGGGATTTTGTAGGGAGCACAACTATTGTCTTCAAGTAAAATCAATGGTACCTCTGATGATCCTGCCCATCTGCCCCAAGCCAGGTCAAGGGGTTTTTTGACCTCCAGCTGAAAAAACTACTCCTAGTACTACTACTTCGAACAGGTAAATTTATTCAAAAACCTGATTCTCATATAGTAAATTTGTAAATATAAAAGTATTTAATCCAATAATATACTTCAGAAAAAAAACATTGAAGGAGGCATATAGTTTATATATAAGTATATAAATATATACATTTCTCAGTCATTAATTCCTTCAAGAGCTAAATATGCATTCTTCTCTATGTATGTGTACCATTTAGGACAGAATTAACCAAATAATTTCCAGATTCATGAAAACCAATTTCATTCTTTTTCTTTTAAAACCTTGTATTCGGTAAATGCAGGGCAAATAAGATGCTATTGTTGGTTTTGTGTGTGTGTGCACGCATGCGTGCATTTAACTGTTGGGGGGAAGGGAAAAAGCAATAAAATCAACAAGAAAAGCAATAAAATCAACGTTGCAGCCTGGAAATTTCAATCAGTTTTGCACAAGAAATCAGTGAAGAGTTTCCCATTACATTTTCTGTGCATCACCCAGACAACATTACATTCTAAACCACTCTATAAAGTGCATAGTACCCCAGGGAACAGAAAATCCAATGCTATGGCACTATTACCTTGGTGAATGATTATATCTTAGTAGTCTTCTATAAATAAGTGTCTACAAGATTATAGACAATGTTTATTAGTTAATTAATTAGTTAATAATAATTATTATTTGTCAGCTTCTCATCAACAACTTTATGTCTGCCTGACACTGTGAGATAAATGTTTATTTGTGTAGTCTCTGCATGTGTATCCCCAGGGAATGCTCCTCTTCCTCTGACAGTACAGGCTACCACTAATATTACACTTTGCAAATGGACCAAATGGACACGTCCTCTAGTGACCGGCAGCGGGTATGCGCTATACCTTGTGAATGTGAAAGACATGCTGAAATGGTCCATGCAGCTGACTGGGCTGTATAACAGCTTGTGTGTTCAATGCCTTTTGGGCTTTGTGATGCAAATCCGATGTATCACCTTGTTTTTTTTTTTTGTTTTTTGTTTTTTTTTAATTGAAGTTGGATCAGGAATAAATTGTATTCACAGAAGAAGAGTGCCAATCGGTTTGTTCCTCTCCAGTGGTGTAGTCAGGCATTGAGGTAACAGGTAACAATTTATCATATAATATCATTAAAAAGACAAAATGTCTTGTTTTTCTGTAATCTTCCATCTAAATGTGATGACCTTTGCCTTTGAAAACATATTTTGATGTTTGATTATGTCATTGTACATTAGTGGGCGGGGGAAAATAATATTAATCTATAATCTGTGGTTTGCCTCCCCCTCCTACCACCTAGGACAAGATTGGCTGAAAGGTTTAAACAGGGTCCTCAGTTAGGAAATCCACATAATTCCTGTGAGTGCAGTTTTAAGGGTGTGTTATGTTTCAGGACAAATTAGGAATGTAAAGTATTTATAAGTATTTATTTTTATTTAAATTTTTATTTCAGATTGCAGATGCCTTATTTGAATACCTGATTAACTCCACCAAAATATTTAATGGCGTTTTCAGATGGACATACAGTATACATAATGCACAGACAATTATACATCACCTGCATTTTTTTGTTTTAACAATGTAATTTAAAAGTAACAAAGCGTAATCAGATTACATTACTTATAATAATCCTTTGGTTTAGGCTACATTGTATGTTTTTTAACAGGCTAACTAGAATATCTTGGGTCTTCTGGCCTCTGGATGGTTCTTCTCAGCATATGTCCAAAATAAGAGAGGTTTAGTTTTGTTAACTGGGCTTCGAGTGAGAGGTGAGGCTTGATTTGGTTAGACTTTAGACTCTGCTGTCTGAGGTACTCTCAAAAGTCTTTACAAACAACAAAGTTCAAAGGCATCTATATTTTTCCTGTCTTGCTTGTTTATTATCCAGCTTTCACATTCATAATGAAACATTGAAGAACAATGACTGCCCACACAGAAATCTGATATGTGGCCATGTTTATATCATAAAGGGTGAGGTATAAATTTTAAAATATATGTACATGATGTGTAAGTATCAAATAATGGACATGTATGCATTTTACATGGATCATACACATGTCTGATACATGGTTGAATACATCAGAGGACAGATATAACTGTTAATATTATCTGTTTTATTTTGAATACTAAATTATTTAAATGTGTCAGGGAGCAATATTTCCATTTATGTTTAAAATCATTTTATTGCATAGCTTATAACGTCTACATTTTACAATATTTCGTTACAAAATATCAAAAATGTCACATTTACCCAATTTTTAACTGTACTTACCCTTTACTCCAGGAGGACTTTATCTCTGGTAAATATATTTAATGAAAGCAAATGTAAACATAAAGCAGTTGTACACACATTAATATTGTAATCAGACATTTATTTCACCTGTACAGCACATGACATTAAGTCTAAATTCAACCTGGTTTTCTTTGCAAATGACACACTTGAAAAAGATGGTTCTTCAAGGGTTCTTTATTAATCAAAATGGTTCATTTTGATTAATAAAGCAGGTAAAAATCTTCATCCCCTCCTCTGCCAACTTTATTAGAAACACCTACCTTGTCCTTCTTCCCCCTGGCCACTTTATTGGAAACACTTACCTTCTTCCACTCAATAAAATAAACTTTTAATAAACATAATCACTTTAATTAAGTACCTTTGGTCTGCAGTGCAGTTTGTATCGGTAATATTATGGTTTGCCGTGATAAATAAACTAATCTGTGCACGTGGCAGTTTGTATCTGTAGTATTATGGTTTGTGTGTGTAACATATCGTTATGTGTGTTTCACTGTATCTGTAATATTGTGGTTCGTAATGGTAAATCGTGAGTATCGCGATGTTACGTTTGCCCTATTGCCTACCGCTAGTTTAAATAACGGTCGTTGCGCGTGAACAGAGGATGCTGCACTGAAATGCAGATCCTTCAGTGAAATGAGGCGCCTCCTGTGATGAGCAGGGCTAATATCAGCGTCCTCATATCCTGCGTTTTGGCTGCTGTTCCGGCTCACACTGCTGAAATATTAATGTTCCCGCGTCACATGGAGGAGTGTGGGTATTGGGGAGGTGCCGATGAGTGCAATGAGACGTTGTTCACGTTCCCGGCATGCATTGTGAGGCAGGGAGGTAGCCTGGAGAAAGCTGTGGCACGAGCGCAGGGCTTCCCCCCTCCCGCGAGCGCACACACACACACACACACACACCGACAGCGGAGCGGACACACACACTCTGAGGTAAAGGAAAAGCCTAAATGTACAAATGCTGATTAACGCTTTTGTATGAAATGTTTGCAGTATCGTTAATGGAGGAATAACCGGAGTTTCCCTCAGGCTGTCATAGTGCCGTGTTTTTCTGTAGCGGATGGAGCGACTGACGGCCAGCCTAACCGCTCCCTGCGTGTTTGAGCGGGTGGTGGTTGCTGAGAGAGGCAGCAGATCTGCGAAGGGAATATGTTCGCACTGAAGGTGGTGTGCGGTTGAATCGTGTTGCTCGGCTCCGTTTGGTTGGTTAGGTGAGAGAAAACGCTGTGGTGCGGCATCTATTCTGACTTCCAGGCTGCGAGTGGGGAAAGTGTAGGATGGGGGGATTCCCTACCCAGCCTGCCGCTTACAGACCTCATGTTCGTGTGCAACAAATGGAGCGTCGAGCTCTTTATGGTTCACCAGTGTTGGTAGCCTCGCAGCACCGCTGTGAGAGCAGTGACTGGGCATGCAGGCTTAGGCTTGTGAGTGCACTTGTTGAGAATCCTATTAGAAAATGATCTCATGCTATAAGAATATTATGCTGCATAAAACGTCTATAATAATCTGTACTGTTTGCACATCTTAGAGTCCTAAATGACTATAAAATTATTACTATTATCTGTTATTACTATTATATTACTATAATCATGCAGACATTCCTGTAGGATTGAAAAAAGATGGTTTTTCAGTAAAGGGAATGGTTCTGTTATGAGTTCTATGTAGAACCTCTCCATGCTTAATTGGTTCTTTGCATGATGAAATCATCGTTCTTCAGATTGAAAATGTGACGTGTACGTTTCTATACAGCACCAAAAAGAGTTCTGCTACTGTTACAAGCTTGACATTGTAACAGTCGAAGAACCCTTTTTGGTGCTATGTATAACCACTTTCAAAAAGGTGCTACATAGAACCATACACAACACATTCTCCATCACCATGCAAAGAACCATTTCAGCGTGAAATGGTTCTGTATAGAACTCATGGTTTAAAATAGAACCATTCTTTTCACTAAAGAACCCTTGAAGAACCATCTCTTTGCTTTTTTATGCGGGCCAGTGCACTCAGCCGTAGAAAATGATCTGCCTTCCCCTCAGTGTGTCATGATATTACACCGTGTGAGACCTGGTTTAGGTCGTGTTCTCTTGTGGCGCCACCTCTGCTGCCCTTTTCACAAATAGAATTACCTTTGCTGCTTGTACAGTGTGGCCACAGAGGGCTGTAGCCTGTTAAAGGAGCTAAAGGAGACAAATAGCCTATATGTATGTTGCACCCGTACAAACAAAAGTAAGAGGTCTAATATTTTATTAACTTAAAGGGAATAAATTATTACAGGAATTATCAGTCTTTAAATGCTGCAGCTGCGTGGCGATTGTTGCAGCGTTTCACTGTCTAATCTTAGCTACAATAATGTATTTATTTATTGCATTTTTATCCCGTTCTCCTTTTTCTAATTAGGGCCAAAATGAAAAATGTATCCATCTGTCGTATACATGTCTACTCGCATCCTTCACCAGTGCCACAGTGTCTTCAGAGCAACCCTGATCCTGGAGATCTACCTTCCTGTGGTGTCTCGTTCCAACCACAATGTGCTACACTTGCTGTAGCCAATTAACTTCTTCAGAAGTCACTGATTGGCTGGATCAGATGTATTAGTGTTGGGTAAGGAAGAGGGCAGCATGTTAGGTGCAGGCATAGAACTAAACTCTGCAGGAGAGTAGATCTCCAGGTGGAGGGGTGGAGACCACTGCTTTAGGGCAAGTTTAAAGATTAAAGGAGCACTATATGATTCTATAGAACGATTGTTGACATTTGAACTCAACAGCAAAACAAACACACCCCTTCTTTCAGTGCTCCTTCAGAAACTCCACCCCCCAAATTTGTGGACGCACATTGTCGAGGCCAACATGCCTTGTTATATCTTTGTGGCCATAAAACCCTTCGCAAACCTTGTACACCCAAATACCATGATATAACGTTAGAGGGAACAACGACACAGCAAGTCATATAGCTAACGTTAGCTCAGTAGTGGTTTAGTGAACTGTCTCTCTGTCTCTACAGTTGCTGTTGTGAAGCTAACCAGTTGCTATCATAAACATTCATTAACAAAACAAATAATACTGACCTACTGATTCTGTGAAACAGCAAAAATGAGTTAATGTTACCCACCTGTCCAGCAGGAGCTATGAAAACAAAAAACAGAGAAGCCCTGATATAGCCCGAATATATCACCTTTAAAGAAACCCCCTTCCAATGATGTATCTTGAAGGTGGAAGGAACTTTTGAAAAACGACAGTTTAAGTTGGATAGGGGATGAGGGCAGGTTGCTTGAGTTTTTTTTTGCCAGCTGGCTAATGCAGAAGGAAGCCAGATAGCTAACGTTACTGCCATGAATGCATAATATCAGATCTGTAGTTATTAGTCTCTACATCAGTGGTTACGCTAACTGTCAGGATTTCTTTATTGCCATGGAAGGGATGGTTGTATCACGTATTTGCATTATTGTGTGCTGTATGTAATGTATTTGATTACTTCATGCTGGCTATTGTAGTGAGAGAACACTGATGGACAAAAACACAAAAAGGATACAAAATTGTGAATTCTATTAAACTTACGAGGCTGAGGGATGCAATACTGCGCTACAGAATATTACACAACATGACAAATATTAAATACTCTCTTTAAGCATGTTTAAATTAGGGCTATCACTGTTGATTACTAATGTAGCGATTATTTTGACAATTTAGCGAGTAAATGTAAACACAGTTTATAACAGCGAACATTTATTTTTGCTTCGAACACATGAAATGTGCAACTATTAACATATGTAAATGTTGAGATCCCTCTGGTGTGGGTTTCCTCTTTTTTAGAAAAACTTTTAATAGAAATAACTCTCATTTAAATGAAAGACATTCTGTAAATTGAGCTTCAGTGAAAAATATTGTAAATGCTATTACTGAGCGCTGTTCTGCACTGATACATGATTTTCTGAAGCTTAGCAAAGCCCTGGCCACTGCACACTCTGGTCTAGACTTTATGCTCTCAGTTTAGCTTGCAGATGACTTTGTAGGATGCATTTCGTGCCTGCATATGTCCCCAGCTGAACGAGGTTATCAGTTACTTTAGACTTTCTTAGACATGAATGATCAGACTATAGCAGCAGCAGTGCAGTACGCGAAACCCTGAGTCATCTAATCCCTAAAGCATTTTAGGATTTGTACATCTTGTCTGTATTTTTAGCTCATGATGTTTTGGTTCATTGCGGGACAGCACATGCGATAATGGCAAAGGCTTAATTCCGCAGTACCATGCGTATAGATATACAGCACTCTTCATTTCGGCTTTGCACTTTCTGTTAATCTGTTTGCTTGATGTCACATATTTTAGTACTAATAGATGGAACTGATTATCTGAGTCTAAAAAGGCACATGCTGCATATGCGTTCTCTGAAGTGTGGAGGCCTTCACAGTATTTTCAGTGGCCTCATCATACTTATTCCATTATTATTACATGTATGAGTGATAAAGATAAACCAAGTCATGGTTCAGGTTACAGTGGCCTTACAGCACTGACTGAAGTGGTTTTCTAGAAAGGCAAAAATAAAAATAAGGTAATATGTGGCTGAGGTTTGTTAGTAAGTAGTCCAAAAATAACAGGGGTCAGACATAATATGGTTGGTATGATACTGATTAAGCTTCTTGACTTTGAAAGCAATAGATCTCATTGGGGCATCCAGATTGTTTAGTGTTATATTTTCGCATTCAGTTGCTAATCAGTGCCATTTGAGATCTTTGAAAAAGGCTGAGTGTGTTTGTGCAATGTCAGCTCTCACTGTCTACGTAACCTTATTGGAGTAGTTCTCATGAAGCGCCATGCTCTGTACCATGCTTGCATTAGGCTACCTGTTGGTAGGTAACTTGTGTGCTACACAAATAGGAATCGTATATTAATCCCCCACGAATTGCCATGTTGGTAAATATTCCATTATATCCTATGGAAAAAGAGTACAGAGGCAGTCAAAGAAGCTTTTACTTGTATTCTCTGTGACAAACATCAAGTGTGTATCTATCGGCCCTTTTCCAGTATATGGCTTTATGCGGCGATGTTGATCATGGGCTTTAAATTTCCCAACTAATGACAATTTTATTGACACATTGCATTTACTTCAGTTTTGTAAATGAGATGTGTGAGTATGAAGAACATTTTTAAAGAACCTCCAAAAAATGTTAAATAGTTAAAGAACTTTGACATTATTTAAGGGTTCTTTAAATCTTTAGAAGGTTCTTCCTTCTCAGAACTATGTGTAGCACCTTTTTTTAAGAGAGTATTTCAGCAATGAGAAGCCTGTTGTAAGTTTAGAAGCTGGATTTTTAGGGTACCAAAAAAATCAACTAGACTGTTCTTTTAGTCTGAGAACAAAATATTGACTCACAGGCCTCTATAGGACTAACAAGGCAGATTGTTACCTGCAGCTGTTAATTAACACCTCCTGGTGTTAAGATAAAATTGGCTTTAGATTGGAGCTAAATAAATAAATAAAGTCCACTCCCTGGTTTTCATTTTTGTAAATATCAAATTTGCAAATTACTAGGGGTGTAAGGATACACAAATGTTCAGCAGGGCTCATACAGGTCCTGAAAAACCTGGAAAATCATAGAAAATAAATGCACCAAAATCCAGTACTGTCTTTGAAAAATAATAAAATCGGAAAACATCCTTAAAAAACATAAAAAATATTATCATGAGAGTATCGAATTTAACCTTTAACCTTGATATTTTTAATTTATTTATTTATTATCTCTATTTTTGTACTGGATGAGTCATTTAATGGTCATGTAAACAGCATACTCAAATTTTATAGATCAGAGTAAGGTCTAGAAGTCTGATTAAGAAATCTGATAAAGGGAGCTGCATTTTGGCTCAATAATTGGGGTCTCAATGCATGTAAAATCTGTATTTCTTTCGGATTTCTCAGTCTGCGCATGTGTGAAAAC